GAGGAAGAGAACGGAAATCACGGATTAAATTGCCCACGTCGTCGGGAATCGAAGATTCCGTTTCGAAGGCCGTGGAAACGCTCGGGCGAGCGAGAGTTGTGTTTATGGTCGCTCGGGGGAAAGACACGGATGATCGAGAAACCCCGCAAGGACCTGGGATTCCGACAAGCGGTTCTCGCTATCGATTCCGGACACTTTTCTTTGAAGCAAAGTTCACCTGCCTCTCGCAAAGCGAGCCAATTACCGCGCAAGATTCTGCAGGCCTTACCTATATCAGAAGCCTTTGAACACGCCCGATTTAACCCCCAGGTCGATTGTTTTTCATCCGAGAATAGATAAGCGAACGAGCTTTTTGCCACCGTCTCATTAATCTCTCATTCGGATCTATCGAGGCTGACGCCTCTCGATGTATACTTAATGAAATCTAAACCGTCGGCGGAGACTTCTTCGCTCGACTCCCCTAATCAATCATCCTGTTTTCCTCGGTCTCTCGCCAAGAGACGACTATATACGCGAGCGAAGGAGACTACGAGACTCTAGTCACTCTAGAGCGCGAGAGGGAAGATAATTAAAAGCGGAGGGGGTGCGCGAAGGGAGCGGGTGAATTAATAGACAGGCTTTTGTCGCGCCGTGCTCGGCAACGGCATCGCGAAAGTATTGTCGCGCCGATATATATATGTATATATATATGTATATATATGCGGGGTATATAATCGACCATTAGACGTGTAAGAGTAAAAAAAAAGAGAGAGATGCGACGGGGGCGAGCGCGCGCGGTCAATGGACAATGGAGAAAGAAAAGCGACTTATGTGGTGGGCCGCGTTACCATAACGACAGGTTACGGTGTGCCTCGCCATGCCACTCGCCCGATGCCATTGCCCCCGGTGCATTACGCGTCTCTTTCTCTCTCTTTCTCTCCCTCTCCCCCGCGCGCAGCGGGGGGTGATTTGGATTGTGTGAGACTTCTATTAGGGTGGCCGCCGTGCGCGCGGCGTGGCACACACCGTAGAAGGGTACGAGAGGCCTCGCCGCGCTGTTCGCACGGCTCTGATGCGTTTATGGTCGCGGCCGCACACTGCAGACATATTTTTGCTACCTGCGTCCTCCATACGCGAGAACACTTAGCACCGAACGCGGACGAGCGAGCAGGTGCCCCCCCTCCCCCCCTCGTTAGACGCTCGTTCTTTTTTTAGATCCTCGACCCTGATTTTTCCGTTCACGAAAACGTCAGGTGTAACAGAAACTTTTGTTATCGATAAGACCCCTCGAAAAGCTTCGGAGAAATAAACAAGATTAAATTCCGGATTTGAAAAGCTAGGAATATTATATCAGTCGATCTCGGACTTTTCTCCGAGAACTTTGATTTGAGTCGTATATGGATATTATTGAGGAACATCGTTAATTCTATATTCTTGGCATTACGTGACTGTTGATGCGAAAAATATTGTTACCTACACGTGTTATTTAGATTCTTGATTTTCTGTCTTTTAAACGCCCGTCAAACGTCTCGTTAGCTGATGCAGTTGCGAGTCGCGACGCGTGGAAATATCTAACGACGCGACGACGAGCTAGCTCGACCCGAAAACGCCCGGTGAACGGTGGATCTAACGAGTGTCAAAGCGCGCCCGGGACAAGCGCGAATAATAGAAGGGAAAGAATGAAAAATGAAGCGCGAGGCGACGGCCCTCGCCGAGGCGCTAACCGATCGATATATAACCGATTTATCGCGATAAAATGGATTTCCGGACGGCGGAGGAGGACTACAATTGAATTATCCTGGACTACGAGGCACTCCTTGGACACGTCCGCGTCCCGGAGCACATCGACAGGTGCGCGTCGAACCGGTTCGAAGTCATAGTCATTGTGGCATGCACAATGCGTAATTGGAACTGTTTTGACAGGAGCAATCTCTCTTTCTCTCTCTCTCTTTCTGCCTCTCCCTCTTTTCTTTCCCTTTCTCTCGGTCTCTCTCTCTCTCGGTTACGGCTTAGATTGCGTCAGAATAGACTGTTTCCGTTCAGCTAATAACCGCTAATAACCGGGTTTTGACCTCTTCCGAGCATTGATGCTAGTGGCTTAAGTGTAATTACCGCGGAAAATATTGGGACACTTCGCGCGGGGTACAACGGTACGCGCAAGTGCACGCGTACGTGCATATGTATGCATATTATTATTTTTTTTGTTTGGATTAGGGTGCTTCTAAACTCTAGGGAGTTGAATGGCACATTTACATTAAGACTTTAAACACGTATTATACAATGTAGCGTAATAATAATTATATGCATTTATATGTAATTATTATTACATTATATACATAAACTGTAAATATATATAGACTTTAAACATCTGAATCTTAAACACACATTACAAAATATAATATAATAAAAAATAGCGTTATTCTTTTTTTTAGTTTGTGCGATGCTTCCAACTGTAAGGTAATTAAATGGCACATTTACATCTAGACTTTAAACACATATTATACAATGTAGTGTAATAATAATTATATGCATTTATATGTAATTATTATTACATTATATACATAAACTTTAAATATATATAGACTTTAAACATCTGAATTTTAAACAAACATTGCAAAATATAATAATAATTATATACATATATAATATATAATGTATAGCGTTATTCTTTTTTAGTTCGTGCGATGCTTCCAACTGTAAGGGCCCGGACACACACTTTTTCGCAACAGTAACAGTAGGATTTCGACCAATCGTGTTACTCGATTCGGGAACGTACGGCCGTACGTTTTCGAATCGAGCAACGCGATTGGTCGAAATCCTACTGTTACTGTTACGAAAAAGTGTGTGTGGCCAGCTTTAGGTAATTAAATGGCACATTTACGTCTAGACTTTAAACACACGTGTTATAAAATATAATATAATAATACAATTATACATATAACACACATATAAACATACATGTGTTATAGCATCTGTGCGAGAGACGAGAGTACGATCGTAAAATAATTCAATGGTATTCCACGCTTACGTGTCACGTGACGTTTCCACTTACAAGCTGCAGACGACGCCGCACCTCGCGATGTTTACGTTTTCGACAGACGAGCAGGTTCAACTTGCGAAACGAGAGAACGCGCGAGTCATTCCCGCTTGCCACAGTGGGCAGATCCGCATGGGCAGATCCACTTCTAAACCACCTCGTGCTCGCTCTCGCAACAACCAACCGTCTGGAACCGTCGTCCGTCGACGACACGGATAACACGAGCTCGTATATCGTCGATTTAGGCGCGCGCGGACGTAATCTCACGCGATAAAATCGGCAAGGATTCCGATTCCGTCGTCGAGGCTACGAGGGCCGAGATTATTCCTCTCTCTCCTCAAACGGAGAAAAAGATTTCGCGCAAGAGAGGATGACGCGACCGGAGACTTACATGGCGGCTCACTTAACGTCGCGATTAAGCAATTGTCTCGTTACCCAGCGAGCGAATCAACGTGCGCGCGCGAACGCTTCAGCAAAGACGGTTTTATCGCGGAAACTTTTACGACTCGCGCACGTTTGTGTTTCTCTTTTTTTCTCTCTCTCTCTCAAATCGTTCCCGAGTATTATTTATTCAGCTGGTGATTTATCTCGCGCGAAGAAAAGCATCCATCGCGTTATAATTTTAACGACACGGTCAACGAAATTAATCCCGGGCGTTGCTCGTCGCGAGGTTCCATCGGGATATCCTCGCGGATATTCAGACAATACTTCACCTTATCTCAGCGGTTTTTAAATTCTCGTAGAGACCGCGCGTGCGATTTCGCTGTATCTCCGTACCGTCGGTCTTTCCTTCCGTATCTCCGCCGTTCGTCAATCGATTCGCTCGCCGCGCGCGTAGCGAGATAATTATTTCACCGTGACGTAGAATCTCGCGCGAGTATATAGCCTCGCCTAAACACTAAACTCCGTTTGTTTTTTCTTTCGCGAGATCGATCGGAAAAACAAAGTCCTCGACCGTCGGGTAAAGATTACCGGTGATCGCGAGCCTGTCGCGGGATATATATGTACTATGTACCCTCGCGTCTCGCGGCCGTCCAGGTCGCCAGGTTCGCGAGCACCCGTATATCCGCCGTCCACAGGTAGCACGGAACAGCAACAAGTGGTGCGGGGGCATTAATTGCGTATACGAGCAGCAGCAGTCGCTCGAGGAGTCGTGATTGCGCGGAAGTATCAATTCCGATGGGGGAGGGCCCCACGAAGCGCGCTTATCCGACTCGCGCGACCTTCGCGGCGCGCGAGGGAGAGAGGGAGACGGGGATAACTCGCCCTGTGTGTGCTGGAATCAAAACACCCGCGGTCTGTCGCGGTACAGACGGATTTCATTCGACCGGGGGTAGGAAGCGAGCGAGACTTGGACGACGTTGTTTTCGCCGCGCGATCTCAGGCGGAAGATGACACGAGTCTCTCGCGCGCGGGGGACTCCGCGACTAGATTGATCGACTCCGCGCTTCTCGCGCGGACCCCCCCGTCCCCCGATTCCGGTTTGTCGCGAATCACGGTTTCGTAACCTCGTCGATTTTCTCCGCTTTCTATTCCACGGGGGCCCCGTCGGTACGCGACCCTCCGAGAGAGGGAATAAGGTGAAGGAGGCGGGGGAGGGAAAGACGGAACAGGAACGTCGAGATGCGCATCTCGCGAACGCGGGAGAGAAAGAGAGAGAGAAAGACTCCCGCCTCTCGCTCTCGCGTACTCGAGACGAGCCCAACGAACCAACGTTGATCCGTCCCGTCGTCGACGGACAAGCCAAGCGAGATTCGTCAATCGTCGACGCGAATTTGGAGTTTCGGGTTCGCCGAAGGGAGGGCGGGAGAGAAGGGAGAAGGGTCGAGCCTCGGGAGGCTGGAAGGCGCGTCCTTCGCCGTGGGAAAGCTCGAGCTTGTCGTTCCTCCCTTCTCTCCCTCTGCCGCCGCCCTCCCCCTCAAGCATCCCCCTTCCGGTCGCGCCACCCGTCTCCCCCTTTCTCTCTCTCATCTTCCAGACTTACGTTCGTGATGCTCGCGCTCTCCGGCAGCTGGTCGAGGGCAAGGTCGCACCCGGTTGCACTCCTCCCTTCTCGCTCTCTCTTTCTCGATCCTCCTCTTCCCTTCGAACAACACAATCCAACACCGAGGGCGAGATGAAGCGCCGCGCTTCGACGCCGACGAGACTCGTCTCCGCGCTCGTCAGGGATTCACGCTCGCGTCTCCGTCGCACGTCATTCGTAACGCGTCCCAGGGAGCACCGTACCGTTCGTACCGCCGGGCGATCTCGCGAGAATGAATGGGAGGCTGCTCACTCGGCGCCGTTTGCCGCGCATCTGCCGAGCCGCGAGCGGAGCGAGCGCGATTCGGAGTTCGGTTCGGACGGATCGCGCGGCGACGAATGCGCGCACCGCCCCGCCAAGGACCAATCACCGGCCGCCTACGCGGCCCGCGGTGGGATCTCGGGCGCGCCATTTGTCGTCGCTCTCGCGCCCCAGGGTGACCATGAGTGACTCGCGATGAACTTCACGACGCTCCGGCGCCGTGAGGCGACGATGAGGGGGATCGTCGCGAACCGGAGAAGCTGCGTCGCGCGGCGAGTACGATTACACGTGTGTGTGAAAAAATCCCGTGTCCGATTCTGGTTTCACGTAGAAAAGAATGAGATCCTCTCGAAATGCGAACGTTGAAAAGGGAGGGAACGAGTGCGTCCCGCGCGTGCGCGACTTGTCCAGGCGTAGCCCCGAATCGCTCGTGGCGCGAAAATTCGAAATTTTTGAACGCGACAACACGAATCAGAAATGATCGTAATGATTATTATATCTTATATATATATGTAAATAATTAAAGTAAATAATTAAAGTATATTATTAGTATAAAGTAAGTACTAAAGTGTAAAGAAATTATAATTAGAATTTACAACGAAGAGTTCTATATACATATTAACTAATATAAACAATAAACAAGTAAATAAATGGTTTCTTTGGATTCGTCGATGTTTGCGGCACTGTTTACGTTATCGTTCGCGCCTACATGTCCACACTTGCCCCATCGCCAATTTCTATAACAATACGGAATACGGGCTTATCAAATAATATTATTAACTAATTAAAGTAAACCAACTCATATTCCTGAAACATGAATATTGATGTTTAATTTGATTTGAAATTTGAATCTGCAATCTTAGTTATATAATATACAATGTTTTGGGAACGTAATATGCGATATACGCAAATATATCATGCTAATAATATATTTTATGTAGAATAATATACAAAATGTTACATATATTATATATGTATAATATATATATATTACATATATACATATGTTACATATATATTAATATATTTAATATATCTGGAAGATATCAAAAACGCATTATTTAACGATAATCACAGTCATTACATCATCAGTCGTTACGCAATACTAAAATTTGGCCTTCTTTCGTATATGCAGGGTTTCCGAATCGTTAATAAGAGCACTTTCCCTCCGACACGTCATTTCCTTCAAGTTATATATAAAATCCTCGTTTAAAGGCTTTATTCGATTGCGCATCGGACGTTTGTGTTTCACATTATTTAATATCGGACAAAACGTTCCTGTGGATTCGATGAGGGAGGCATCGTTTACGTTATCGTTCGTGTTTACACGTCCACTTTCCCTGTCATTAGTTTCTAATACGGGTTTATCGGGCTCTGCCTGAACCTCGATCGCGCCCGTGTTGTTTGAGCCAAAATCCTCGTTTAAAGACTTTATTCGATTGCGCATCGGACGTTGGTGTTTCACATTATTTAATATCGGACAAAATGCTTCTTCGGATTTGATGGGGGAGGTATCGTTTACGTTATCGTTCGTGTTTAGACGTTCATTTTCCCCGTCATTAGTTTCTAATACGGGTTTATCAGAGTTCGCCTGAACCTTGATCGCGTCCTTGTCGTTGCCATATATCACTTGACGTATCATTCGCGTAAATATGGGATCTTTTTTATTTTTATTCTTTTCCATATATTCTAACAGCTCTTGCATCGTTTTATCACTATCGCCCGCATAGACATTCTCACATTCACTTTCGCGTGACTGCGGGACTCTCTCGTTCGCCACAGTTTCACTCTGCGAAACAATGCGTGCATCTAAGTCGCTCGAATCGTTGAAATTCACCCGTGTTTCCGGCTGACAGTCCGACGATGCAGTTACATCCATCGCGATATCGGGATTGTCCGATTTTGTCTTTGGATCTGTTGTATCCGCGACGATGTCCTCGTCACACGTATCGTCGTGCGATATTCCGAGTATCATTTCCGCTATAGCCACGCGATTATTTTGCATATTATGCATTTTTTTACAATGCGTAACACAATCGCATTTTTCAAAGCACTTGAAATCGCACAGCTTGCAACGGTAGCGGTACCAACCGACGTGCATAGCCATATGCCTGCGTAGATTAGGTGTGGACGTGAATTTTCGGTTGCACTTAAGACACCGCTGCTTCCGATAGTCCGCGATGGTAGCTATTTTACTCTCCATTAGTAAAGTCCGATTCTTTTCGTTCGGTTGTATTAAGGAAGACTGCGACTCGGAATTATCCTCCCCTACGATCTTACCTCCCTCTAAAATTTAACAAATTATTGTTTTTTAACACTTTATATTGTTAATATTGTATATATTATATAATGTTAACTACTATAAATTATAATATATATAATTAAATTATAGATATAGCATATTTTAGCAATTAATAATAATTTAATAAGTACATAATAGTTTGCGCGTATTCCATTTATTTAGATGTGCATTTCCTATTGTGTGTATAATAAATAAAATTTATTCGAATTAAAAATCAATTGACTCACCTCCTGGATCAGTCAATCGGTCCTCGTTGTGATGGCTCAACGCTTCCTCTTTTTTATTTCTCATCTTTGAAGCAGCAGAACTATCTTTGTTTGCATCTGTGCGCGTAGCACCAGGTGAGTGTAAATCTTCGTCGAGCATACAATTATCTTGATTCTCAACGGGAAGTAGTAATTTGGTGGCATCAATATTTTCTGGTAATGCAATACCAGAAACGTTATTGTTATCCGCTGAATTGCGTTCAGGCAGATTATGTTGATTTCCTAGCATATCCCAGTATTCTTTACTAGTATTGGTAACATTTTTTATGCGAATGGGCATTTCGTGATCACTGATCTCAAGAGATGACGATGTACGCTCGGAACTTTTGCTGGACGTATCTTCATCAACGGATGACTTTATGATTGTATTAGCTACTAAATTTTTTTCTGTTTTACACGGTATAACGAATGTCGAGGCTGACAATGTACTACAATGTTTGATCCTAATTGTTTTCTCGTCGCACGTGGCGATTGGCGTTTGACAATATTGCGAAAAAGTAGACGAAGTTGTCTTCCTACTTGTTCTCCTTCCACGTCTACCGCGGAGCTTTGTACCAGATTCTACGTTTATCAATTCCTACAAAAGATTTAACGTATACTATTATATAACTGTCAGTTTTTTAAATATCCTATTATGATTTAAAAAATCGATAAAGAATATTGTTGAATTTTACCTGAGTTTTATCGCTATTTTCCATGACATTTTTCAAGGCAGATACTTTAGCTGCATGATTATTTTTCTTATTTTTCGTCATAGTTGTCTTCCTGTGAAATGCTTTCCTTTGAACCTCCGATTTTAATTTACGCACCTGTTCATTGGTCATTTTATGAACTGTTTGGAAAATTGTAAAGAAATGTAGATTATTCGAAGCACTGGTTTTAGAAACACCATGCTGTTTGAAAAAATATCAAAAATTTCGAGATAACAATACCTCTATATAAATGCCGATAGGTGCTCCACGTATTTGCAAATGTATTTTTGCAGCAAGGACAAGGATAGCACAAACGTTTGGACGTATGCAGCGTTTTTATGTGAACGATTAACGTCTTCTTCGTCGAAAACTTTGCACTACCTGCGTGTCAAAACGAGAACTTTTCATGTCTATCGAATATCTTGTTATTAAAAAGTAAGAACCATTCATATTTACATATAGGGCAAGACAAATTATTCATCGGTAATCTGTATATCAATGCTTTGTTCTCCTCATCATTCTCCTCGTCACTCTCCTCCTCATTCCGTTCCTCATTCTCCTCCTCAATCCCTTCCTCATTCGCCTCCTTATTCCGTTCCTCATTCTCCTCCTCAATCCCTTCCTCATTCTCCTCCTCACTCTCTTCGTCATTCTCCTCGCTCATCTCCGCTTGAATAGGACTGTCACTCTTTTCCAATTGATTTTCAGGTTCCTCTACTACGAGGGCATTCTGATCCGTGATATTCTGCAATTTTGTTATCTAACAACAGAAGAAAACAGTGTTATGAGCATCATCGAACTAAACATATATTATACAATAGTTATGGAGAAATACAATGTGATTTAAAATATATATTTATAAGTAACACTAAGTAAGAGATTAGTCTTATCAGTGAATTAATATAATGCATACTTGTTCTTTCACCAAATCTATAGCTTCGACCACCGCGTCCGGTGATTCAATAGGTTGATACACCGCAGGACAATTAGTATCTATAGGTTCCAAATAGATATGTTGATCATCCGGAACGTTAGAGATTGCGCTCTCATTTTCCAAGTTTTGCTTCTCTATATGATCTTCTCGCTCTTTATTCAGCATATCTAGTATCGCAGTGAGATCCTTTTTATTCGATTTCTTGGATACTTGACTCCTGAGTATTCTGTCATTCTTGACGCCGTCGTCATTGACACTGTCATTAATGACGCCGTCATTATTGACCCCGTCGTTATTGACACCGTCGCTACTCGCCTGCTCTGTCTTGTACATGTGCGCTATTGATTCTCTGGTGGGGTGCTAGAAGAAAATATTCATCATAAGTGGCAGCAAGTAGCAACAGCAGTGTTAACAGAAGCGGATCACATTCCACTTACTGCGTTATAGTTATTGAGCACCCGTTTGTGGAGCCTGACGTCGAATTCGTCCACACAGTACTCCCTTTTGTGGGACACCAGATTGACTATGCTCCTGAACAGGGCCAGGCAGATGCGGCATTCATATATGACATTACATTCGTACGACAATATCGATTTAACCTCGTCGGTACCGTCCTCGAGGAGCTCGCAAACTTGGTACAAGTTGGACACGCTCGTGTCGACCGGCTTACGTAAGTTGGACAAGTCCGGACGACTCGTGTTCCCATTGAGAAGCCTCTTTCTTCTCTTACCCGTGGTCTGCAACGGCGGCTTCGCCGGTTTAGGGTTCATCTTTCAAACAACGGAGGATTCTCCGAAGTGTTCGCAGCGTCGCGTCACGATTCGGAAGACCTGCGGAACGTGAAAAAAAAAAAAATAGTGAGAAATTCTCGGACGAATGTGGAGGTGCTCGGGGGTGCTCGCAACGCGAGTTCGAGATGAGCCACGCGCAACGCGGTCGCCCGAACAGGCGTACGGCTCGAATATGCTGAATGTAAGCGTGGCCGCAAATGGTGTCTAAGAGGATTTCCGAATCAACAGGTTGCGGAAAGGGCGGAGTTTTCTCCGAGCCACCCCCGGAAAACGCACGATTATCAACAAGCCGGAAAGGTACCCGCGAGGACGGGATGCCGCGTCTCTCCCTCCTTTGGCTCGGCGCAATCGACGTTTATCTCGCGGGCTTCGGCTGATTTCGCGAGGGTGTGGGATAACCTACCAAAATTGCGTGGCCGCGTGCGACTCTAAACGCGAGCGATCGAGAAATTTCGTCTAAAAACTACCCCTCGTGTCGTCGGATTCTGCACGCGACTTCCATTGCCGCAGAAGTTCCGGCGTTCTCCGTTCGAAGAAAATTTCACGGGCAGCACCTTAGGTTTGTCTCTCCGCGCCGCGTTCGCGTTCACCGCCGCCGTCGCCGCCGCTCGCTTCCTCGTGCCGAGGAACCCCCCTCTCCCCCCCCCTTCCCGAGGATATATTTACGGCGAGGATGTCGGTCGCGCGATGCGCCCGGTTGCTTTCTTCACCGAAGGTACGCTAGTCAGGTCCATCTAACCTCCTACCATGTGTGTGTGTATACTCACAAAATGTTCCTCTGCTTATGCTTGTCCACAAAGTCAGGATGCTCCTCCGCGAGCTGCGTCCACGTCCGATTCATGCCGAGCACATGTTTCAGAACGCGGCATTGTTGAGAGTAACACGGATACACGGAGATCTCGGCTACGTTGGGCCGCTACTGGCTGTCTCCGCGAGGCACCCGCCGGTGCCCAGGGATAGCCACACGATATCCGACCAACCCACGTCCACGGTGGAGAATGTACAGCGGAAGATGGGATTCGTGGAGAGAACGTTGAAAAAAATCGGTTTGCTAGACATCCAGAAATATGTAATTGAGAGTTTTTTTCATCAGCGCTGAAACGAAAGCGCTTGCCGAAGCTTGTCCTTGCGGTCTGCAAAAGCGCTCCGTGCTTCTGCACTCGAACGTCGAGAGTTATTGATGGTAACGCTGATTTGTTAATTGCAGAGAACCATGTATATGGGTTATAGAGTGTACGAACATGTAATAAGTCAAGTGGATTATCCTTTTTTCTTCAAACGTAAGTCCCCGTCATAACCCAGCGAGAAATGACCCGTCGAATCGACGTCTATAGACGTCGATAGATCATTTCTGGCTGGGTAAGTTCTGTGTTGCAGCGGTTATATAATCCTAACTCTTGTATATATTTTAAATACGTTCTTTGTAGATTTTAACATACCAGATACGTTTTTCTCTTGGTTTCTGGTGACGGAGCTTCATGTATGGATGATAATGGTTCGCTACATGGCAGACGAGAAAGATGGGAAAGTTATCAGAAATAATGTGGTAAAGGCCATGTGGGAAGACACACAGGCCAGGATAGACAAGCTTGGTGTAAGTAACTGCACTACCACCAGTTTGTATGGATTATAGCTGTTTATTAAATATAATTATGTTATTATTGCAGTCAATAAGATCCAAAATGAAAAATGAAAACGTACAGGAAATATCGTATCAATTCAATGCTGCTATAATAGGTTACGATGAGGGCATACAATCTGATGATAAAACATTAGCCGGAGCATTGTGGAGACGATTCTTTCAGCTGGAATGCAATAATCCGGAACACATTGAAACGCTTCTGATTTATGTTAGGAAACAGGTGAGGTTTTATATTTTAGAGTATAATGCACAACTATATTTCATATTTTATTCCATATTTTAATGGCGTGAGATAACTTGCTACAACTCTTACAGCAGCACTTCTGTAAATCATTTCTTTTTTGTTCACTTTTCAGATTTCTTTATTCGACAGTTTACCAAATCATGAAATTTTAAGAAAACCTGTTTTAAAGTTGATAGACATTAAAACTTTATGCAAACATCAATAATAGCGGTTACAGTTACCAGGTAAGAGATAATGAAGTATTGTGTTCTTGTAAATACATGAGGAAAGCGTAAAAAATTAGCGATTGTAAAAAATATAGTAATAAATATGGAATGTTTCGTATAGTATATTACTCTTATATAACATTTTTTCGTAAAGTATTTTCTCTAAAGTAAGGCGTTTTTTTTTTTTTTTACTTTACATTGCGCTAAGGACGCATCAAGTTAAATCTATGGCTGGCTAGATCTAAATTCAATTGATCACACCAAAATCGCGTTTACATTGAGTTTTCTGATTTCCCAGGCCTGCAATTATACGGCATACGTAAGATTTCTTGCACTTTGTGTTGCACTCTTTCCTCAGTGATGGTTCGGCGCGTTTATAAAAGTTCCTGATCAATTATCATTGGTTGAGATAGAATTACTTGACAGACATAATAATTTACAAATCTCTATACATTACCTGTAGTAGCGATCTAGCACCCTGTCATCGAACCTTAGTTTGAGCAACCAGAGTTGTAGCGAACTGTACGACAAGTCGGAAATGCCGTATTCTTCTTTAAACGAGTATGACTTGAACCATGACGGCCGTTTGTCGGGGTGAAGATTCGCTAAAGTTAAATTATACATCCAATTCTCGTAATCTTTTACCGCCTGTAACAGAGTATTGCTCGTGTGTGTACATTGCATGTATTTTCACCAATGTGGAATGATGTGATACTCACATAATTTTTGCTGTCGACAGTGTACAGCTTGTAGTTGGAATTTAAGTTCTGGTAGGTGGTTGCGCTACCGCCGTTCCAAGCAACGTTATTAATCTTGCCGTTGCCATTATCACCGTAAAACAATTCTAGCTCATCATTGTGCGTATGGCCGTTGAATTGTGCTCTAATAATGTGGGCGTATCGATCGACAATTTTCATATATTCCCTTTTCCACGTGGTATAACATTGGTCGTCATCAGGCGGGACGTGCGCTAATATATGCACAAACTCCCTATCCTTTTCGGCTTGCGAAAGCGTGTCTGCCAACCATTGCAACTGGTCATCGGGATCTTGCGGTTGATACCAAATCCACCTGTAGAAATTATTTTTATACAGAACCGCGTAAAAAATAAAATCTAATTTATATACTTCCTGCATTGAGAACACGTATATGATAATAAACAAAAAAAAACAGTTTATCAACATATAATATTGGAAAAGTCAGGTGTACAAATTGCAATATGTCGTGGTACACAAGACAGTTCGTAATATCTACGCGATATCCTAGATTGATAACATTAAGCAGTTATCATTAAGATAAAATATATATTGTGAATCAATGAATAAGTCACGATATCACGCGATCCATAAAATATTTTTCCCGTATCTTACACAATTAAAAACTGATTTTATGTACTCACCAGTTGTAACAATAACATACGTTATTGTTCAAGACTATAATTCTAAATCCTTTCTTAGGCGAAACCGTATAATATCCGCCTTCCAGTATGGTAGAACGTGTAGATTCTGGTAACCATCCGGAATTGATCCACAAATCAGCCATCATTTGATACAGCCATTGCGTGCTTAGCTCGTCATTAGTAATATTCTTGGGTGCAAATCTAGAGGAAAGTTGCGCAATTATATTAATCTCAAAATACAAGAGTAAATAGATAGATAGTTGAACAAAATATATTTATATAATGAAAATTGGATAGCTCACTGATTCACAGGATGCGGCTCATGATTACCCAGAATAGGATACACAGTAATATCTGGGAATGTTTCGAGAATTTGACGATAGCTCTTGTACAGACTTTTTATATTTCCCTCGATACTGGTTTCCCAAACCCCATGGTCTATTATGTCGCCAGTGAAGTAAATGTAGGAAATATTCTGCAAATCAATATTAAAATAACAGACCGTTTTGAAGAATTATATATATAATAAGATAGCAATGGAGAGAGGTGCTGCGTACTTGATGTTGATCTCTAATGTGATCTAGGACATCAACAACGGTATGCCACGGACTGTCGCAATAATTGTAATCTCCCCAAAAGCCCGCCACCTTGCCGCTTGTATTTGTCTTGTTTTGCCCTTTTCGACAACATGTTGGTTCCTTGCATTGCGAGTTGCCATAAGGTTCGTAGTTAGGATCGTAATGAAAATCCGTTATCTGCACTATGTTTAGGGTTTCATTGCTCTCTTCTAGATCAATCGATATTGGAGGGCTGTTATCAATGCTGACTGTCCAATCAAACTCGGAATTATTAAGCGGGCAAGAGTTTGATTCCAATACAACGCCACAAATTGTGGATGACGTTAGATTCGGTTTCGAATCTATTATATACACAATTGTTGGCTGCAAGTAAAATGTTTAGACAACATTGAACATGTTAAAAGTAAAAATTGATGCCAAAAATTTATTATTGCTCTCCATAAAGGAACTCCTACATATTATGATGGTGAAATAAAAATTTTCAATATTTTATTTGCATAACAATTCAATTTACTTACCAAATTGATGGTTACGACACCGACGCAGACTGACTTATCTGCCAAGTTCAGTAGAACGCAGAGTTTAATCACTAAATCTCCTATTTCTTCCTCTGACGTGCCGTTCCTGCGATATTCTATAAAAGTATTTAGAACAGACTGACATATTATGCAAATAGATTCGCTGCTTTCACCAACAAAACCATGCCAGTCGTCACGCTGCTGGCTGGTCGGAAGAGCTAGTTGATGGATCAACTGTTGAAATTCCTCAGATTCATTCTGTTGTGCTTTTACCCAATTTTTAATCTCATGTGTAAAGTGTGATACCGTGTCACCTGTAAACAGATAGAACTATCGTTTTGCGACTTTCGGCTAATAAGACAAAATACAGTATAAGATATGTTAGCTAACAGATATTATATGTGTCATTTCCTGTTTTTTGTAATTTTATCTTTAGAATATCTTACATAAAATTTATATCTATGAGATATACTTTATCAAAGTTAATGGCACAAATTGATGGTTTAAGAAAGCACAACTGATAACTTTTATTTAATCTCTTGGTAACATGAACGTAAAACCACCTGCATGTTGTTTGCTATCAAGATCATACGATCTTGATCGCTCAACAACAAACAGAAACTGATAATATGAATTGCATAAACCAGATGTATCAAACTCGCGGCCCGCGGATCTCATGTAGTCTGCCAAAAAAGCTACGGCCCGCTGAAACTTGTTAAAAATCTTTTGGAGAAAAGTATTAAATTAATTACTTTGAATTTTAAATAAATTTATTTTTATTTGCAATTTAGTTCAAATTTCCACAACGTTGTCTTTCGTTATACCAGCATGTTTGGTAACACACATTTTTGCGAGTAACTTTCTTCTCTAATGAAAAATAATAAAATTCCAGGAAGGTCAAAATTAACCGATGAGCATCTATTATCAATTTTGAAAAATACGTTAGCTCAAGACATTCAACCAAATTTTGATGATTTGCTTTGTGAAAAACGGTGCCAAATTTCCTCTAAAAAATAATATAATAAATTGTGATTTTGTTGTTTATTTTTTATAGGTTCCATTTTTGTTTTTTATAAATAAAAATGTAAAATATTTTTCATTTGAAAAATAACGTGGAATACAAAACGACTATGTATATACTAAATCCAATAATTATAAAAGTCATATTTTATACTTATTTTTTGAATATTGAAAACATGCTTCAGCCCAATGCAAAGTAACCCAGGTAGCACATACACGTTTCAGAAATGTTTTATAAGCGTTTTTCCGAAACGTTTTATAACCGATTTCTAGAAACGTTTCTCACGAGTAAAAATGTCCATCGAAAAACGTCGATGGAACGTTTCTTTTCCAATAAAATAACGTATAAAAAACTATTATAGGAACATTTTGTTTTAATGATAAAGACATTTACGATTCCTACTTTTTACATCTTTTGAACGTGTTTATGACGTCTTTGAGACATGCGTGAGAATTAAATATTCTAGAAGCCTTATGCATATATCATCTATGACGTCTATTCTTTTTCGAAGAAATTCCTGAACTGGTGCACATTCGCGTGCAATAAGTTAAAGTGAAACAAACTATACTTGTCTCACTCTAACTTAATTGCATTACTGATGTGCGCCAGTTCAAGAAGTTCTTCAAAACGGAACACACGTATAAATGGTTTTTTCAATGGCCACCTTCAGCAGAACGTTTATTTTGCAACTATTAGAAGTTTTCTAAGCTCAGATTTGTCCGATGACAAATAGATTAAGACCGGTAGGACAAAATTAATTTAAGTAATATGTACTAATATGTGCTACGTGAGATAACTTATGTAGCCTATGATACAAAACGAGTTTGATATACCTGGCATAAATATTACATAAAACTTTGTTGCATTATTTTATGATATATAAATCTAATAAATATCTTTTGTTAATATATATATATATATATATATATATATATATATATATATATATATTAATTCAAATTAAAAATGAGCAAATTGTATATATATATGATTGCAAATATACAATAGATCTTTGACAAAAGATAAATAATATAAAGTCTTTTAAGACTGGTAAATACAATTTGCTCATTTTTAATTTGAAATTCTAATAGTTTATCAGTTATCTGATAGTTTGTCATACTTATATAAGTGGACACGTCGCTGCTTGCAACTTTTAATAAAAGTGTAAAAAGTATTAGTGTGTAGAACCGCATATTGATGCGACTGGATCACTGTAACACCACTGTTATTACACTCGCGTTATTGCACAGTTATATACTGTCAGTGTTATTATTATCTTTAAGATAATTCCCCCACTCAAACAGCTTTAAACAGATGGCTCAATAAAAGGTCGTAGAGATAATATAATTAGAACATCTGGTATATTATTGTGATCAGTATATTTAAAACACAAAACAAATAGGAAGGTTGCTACCATTATCACGAAATTATTGTTTTTACATTTGTTACATAAGATATTTCGCTTATGTGACGATAATTTATTTGATAATTGAATCGAATTATTGAATAAATTACCACTAATTTAATTAATACTAATAATATGAGCATCTGACAAAATATATTATTAAATAATGATGTTAATGATTAATAGATGAACAGTTAATTTCATTTAAATGTTATCGAAAATTATCAATTTCATTAATTTTATTTTTGAATAATTTTATTGATAATTATTGATACATAAAATATATCATCAATACAATAAATTGAACGATTATCTTATGTTAGATAATAATATACATAAAAATATACTATTGCGATTTCGTAGCAATTCATTTATACACATGCCACAATGCAGACACTTTCAAAAGATCGTGAGTGCATTTCTCACAGTCACTCGCTTATTTGCTACAACAGTGACATAACTCAAAAATTGTGATTTTTCAAGATTTAAAATTTTGAATTGTTATAACTATTGGCAGGCCATTCTTTTTTGCAACTTTTACGATGCAACTTTTCATTACAACAACGAAATGACAACTGAGATAAGATTAAGATAAGACCTATATAAGTATTGCAACCTACATAATTCATTAAATGATAATAGCACAATAAGCGACACTATTTCCTCGGCTGAGTTCGTGAAGATTAATCATTGTCGATTTAACTGTAAATAGTACATGTAACAATAGAACATGTAACCTTTTTCCCTGTACGAATAACTCAAAATGGCGATTTTTTTAGTTATGTCATTGTTTGTCAGCAAATAAGCGATACATCTTGCAAGAAAATTGTTTTTTAAAATTACGTACTCTTTTATTCATGAACTTTAAACCTATCAATCTTCGATTATAAGATCATCCATCATTTCTTCGAGTGTAATCTGGGGAATGCTCGGGTCTATTTCATTAGTATCAACAGGTATCTGCTTCCGAATGTCTCTAAATATATTGATGTTCTGCCTCATTTCTGGATCTTCTTCCAGCTCGTCAAGGAATTCATTATATTCGCTGTAAAACGCAATTGATATTATGAAACAATTTTCAGCGCACAAAACTTGTAGGTTTTAGTAAATCGTTTTTCAACATACTTATTTTGCGTATTCATATCGGCCACTTCATCAGAAATATGTTTCAACTTCCATACTCGTGCCTTGCGACGGGCAGCCTTGTTGTGACTGTAAAACTTCTTTACCAGAATGATATCGGGTATCGAATCTTCACTTAGTTTGTCGAAATTGGCATCGTTAACGTTAGTGTCTTTCAGAGCATAGCTGCAATAAACGAATACAAAACAAATTACATATGCTTCTGTAAAATATTTCTTCTCTGTACGTATTACATGCTATAAATTTAGTGTAAATTACAACATAAACTTACCCGAGTACTGAATCACCTGGTTTAAGTATGTGGCCTAAATGTGTACGTGTATGAATTGGAGTATCGTTTATCCCTAACTCAGATGCTTTCACTAGCCATGCGTCTGCTATTATATGCTAAAAAATTAATTATCAAAAATTAGCTTTTTTATTTTGAATGAATCACATGTTGAGCTTCTCAAGAAAATAAATATTCCTCCTTCTTTCAACAATATTATGTTACATAAGCTTAAGTAATGTAGACAATCATATTGTTGAAATATTTTATACAGAAGGAAAACTTACTTTACTAGAAATAGCTCCTTGTCCTGGGAAAGTTTTTCTATTTTTATAGTTAATTGGTTCGATGTCCATCACGATATACTCTATTAATTGTTTTGGATCGCACATACTATTGAAGTTGTATCTCCAATAGACGTTCGATTCAAGTTCAGCAACTAAATACAACATATCACTATTGTAGCATTAATTAACAGTCGATTGATTATCGTTAAAATTATCACTAATATCATAACTTACTTTGCCCCGATGAAAAATCTATAAAATGCACAGAATTCGTGATTCGGTATACCAAACAAATAGGATTAATGCCACCCAATTGATGAGCCAACTTCCGCGGTAGGCAAACTACACTGTCCTTGGAAAGCGGAATGATTTCGAGGCTGTAAATGATGCAATAAACGCATTAAATAAGATCGAAATATGCCTCGAAAATGTGCTGCGTATATTTACCAGTATGTAAACTTGTGATTGTATAAATTACTATGACAGTCGTGTGAAATTAATTTCTTCGAATGTTGAACATAGCATGGCATGACAGTTACTATAAAATCAGTCATTTTTCTAGCTGCGGCTTCGGTTGCAAAGAAGAAGTCCAGACCCTCTGTAAACATTAGAACATTTTATCTGTCATCCATTTGATACGTTACAATATATATTATTGGCAACGAGAAAGCATTCCGTGAGACGCAATATTTACCATGAACGGGCTTTATGCTCAGTGTATTCTCATGTGCCTTATGTTTTAATATCAATTGTTCTAAGTAATAAAAAGTTTTCTTGTTCGTTGCTTTCTGCCGGATTTGCACCTGTAAGAGACAACGCGATATATATAAGAAAGCCAAATATGATCATTCGCGTTTGAATTTCTTTTTTCTTTTAAAAAACTTACACATGCAGTCCAGTAATCCTTAGCTTCTACACGATGACAATCTTCGCACATTTGATGATTCACGACGTATTCGACGACGAATACTTGCTCGAGAAGTGTCCCGCCAATTACTTCTGCATGAACAGTTAGCTTTACCTAAGAAATAATATTAAATATGGTAAAATAAAAATGAAATTTGATTTTAACCCTAAAAATCGAATTAATTAGTATGAACAACGACTAGATAGACTGGACATTGTATGCATTAAGAGAATCAAGTACATGTATTGAAAAATTCTATCTAATATACTATGATTATATTTGTTTAAAATTTAATTGCACATTTTAACTAGCAACCGAATGTCAATTAAAATTCTTGAATTTATTTACAATTTAAACATCACGCGCAACTTACTTTCAATCTTTTGGAATGTGGCTCTGTCCATATAAAACCGGCGTCTACCAATTTCACACGGTTCAGTCCCTTTAACTTTTTCAAGCACAGTGTCAAGAGTTCCTTGGATTCCAGTGCGGCGTGAATCCACTCGGAAGGCGGCTGGAGATACCTGTTACACAAATGCAGTGTTAACTTGAGTGAATTGGTATATAACGCCTTGGAACATCTTTAAAAAGGCGTCGTACCTTTCGCAACCTTTGCAGAACTGTAGGGTCACTTGCTTGGGGATGCCTTCAGTAATGTCGACGTGAGTACGCAGGCAGCCTACACACATATTGGCAGGATTTGGCTCGATGATGACTCCGCATTCACAGCAAGGGCTACGGGTGAGGAAAAATCGCATTTACACGCTTGCAAAGATTAAATTTTATCTTAAAAAATAATAAATACAAATGAATTCTTTATAAACTTTATATGGAATATCAACAGGTTATACATACATCATTCCCTTCTTTTGCACTTCGTCGGAGACTTGAATGTACTCCATTTTACGCGTCTGGAAGCAAAAAAGAACAAGAATTTTATAAAACATACTCTTTTCGTGGACGTCTGTCTCTTTAATCATTACTCCAATCAACCTTGGAGGCGAAAAGTATCTTCGCACCATATTGTATTCTGGATAAAAAAAAAGATTGTTAAACAAAATGAACAATTTCTCTACCTGGAATTATTTATGATTCTGTATCACCGAAAAAAAAGCAAAGATTAAACGGAGAAACTCCAGACCAGACACCACCGTTAACCTCGTGAATTAAAACCTAACCTGAAAATCACAATGCGCATGAACTAACTGCGTCACGAAACGAAGGGGGGCTCGAAAGAGAGGTCCATGTTCCGGGCATAATCTTGTCCAATTGCGACAAGAGGCAAGGAGATGTCTTTGCCGATTGGTCAGGTTCCACGAGGTCTCGGCATGAGGCTAACTTCGCATCAATCGCATCGAAAAGCGAACGCTCGGGCCGATATCGGCTACGTTCACTCCAATCGGCTCGGGAGCGAAGAAGAAACGTAAGCGGCACTGCCGTCGTGGAGAGAGTGGTGGAAGGCAAGGCATGGTCCGAAGTATTTATGTAACTTCACTTTGATGAGGCCGAGAACGGCTGTCAACGAGACGACGGACAAGCCCTCGCCAGGTAAACGACGAGGGTAACCGGGGGGGTAGCGACGTGCGCGCCGCTGCTGCCGGGAGAGGAGGACGAGTCGGACGAGTCGTTTGTTTGCAGACGAGCGAGATCACGAGGTTCCCCGTGGGCCCGGCTGAGTTAGGATCCCGAGGATGGGCTCCGGCCAGAGCGCCCGCAAGCTGACCATCTCGAACGAGGAGGAAGTCGGGGTGATCAAGGTCTCGAACGCGATCGTGCAGCGTCTCGCCCAGGGGGAGAGAGCGAGGGCCGCCCGCGAGTCGGCGTCGGACACGAGACCCAGCGCGCCGATCCAGCACCCAGCAGCACCTCCCAGCGCGACGCCCGTCGCGCCTCAGCCCCAGGCCGGCGAGGCAACGCCTGGTCAGCCGGTGTATTATTATCCGGAGTTAACGATATCTGCCCTTCAAATGCAACAGCAGATGGAGGAGGAGCTGAAGCGTCAGGATCAACACTGGCAGAGGCGTCTGCGGAATCTAGAGGACGGTTACCAGAAGGTCAATCGTGTCTTGGAGGACGAGTACAACAAGGCAGTTAGCGAGACTTCCGTCACTAATTCTGGTGAGTTTAGATACAGTTTAACAGAGTCTGCTGACTAGTTTCTCTGGCTGCGTTCAGCAGAAAAGGCAGCTGAGCAAGCTTTTAGTGATTCTTTAACATGATCCATACACTTCTTGATCTATACTTAGATCCAGCGAGGAACCAAGCTGCGTTTCCTGCTAAACGCAACCATTGACATCAAATGTAATGAAATATTTGATGGTAAACAGATTAAATTAGTCCCTGGATAATTTATAGATTGCTCTAAAAATCAAATCAAAAAATTATAACAGTGATTTAAACTTAAAACTAAACAAAACTTTCTACAATGCAGCAGTTTTCTAATTTAATATAAATATGTGTGTATCGTTACAGGACAGAAAATTGCCAATATCCAGAGTGCAGTGCAACCGTGTTTGGAGAACAGTAATAAAGTCCTGAAGTGTTTCCAGGACCATCCCAAGGAGACTCTGAAATGTTCGAACTTGGTGGAAGAGTTTTCCAATTGTGTCTGGAACGTGCACTACACACGCATGATCGACACGCGCTCGTAATAATATTTACTTGTGCGTCTCGTAGATCACGACATCTTCGAAGGACGTTTAGTCGATAAATAATAAATTGTGCATCTCAAAGTGTAATGCCTAAAAAGCTTATCTCAGCGGAATTGTTGCTGATGGAGAGTAGTGTAAAGTGGAGAGTACGCGAGGAGAAAAATGTAAAAAAATAAATGAAGAATATATATTGATATTTATAATAAAATGTTATTGTTACACGCACGAGATGAATTGTCAAACACAGAGTACGTTTATCCGAATCTAATTAGCAATAGAGTTTTTTTATGACGCTGTATGCGACACACTTTATTTTAAAACGCTTTTTATAATAATTATGCAGGAAAGTGTTGCATCGGTGAAGACCCGAACAACTTATTTTGAGGTTCCCACACAGTTCTATTCATAGATCAAAATATATACAGCATAACCCAGGGTGCACGACCCAAATGAAGGCCTACAACAGCACAGCACACGTTATAGAGTGTGTATATATATATTCTATAATATATATATATATAATTTTATATAAGATTATTAGTAAATACAAAACGAGGAAACGTTGCAAATGCAAGATTGGAAGTACATTAAAGATATATTGTCTAAAACGTATGTAAAATATATATCCTATTTATACATTATTAATACTTGCCGAATGTGCAGTAATTAATTATTCTCAGTGCAGTATAAAATTATAACGGTTGACGGCAACCTGCCATCAAAATTTGTACCACTTCTCCAAAAAAACACAAAAAAAAATGAAATACAAAATAACTATAACGAAAACTTCAATTTATGGAATTCTTAGAATTACATCGTTAACTGTTCATAAAAATAACGATATATATCACGAATTAAGAAATACGGGTACAGGCTTTGTACACAACAGAAAGCGCACAAAATTGGAAAGGGGATGTACAGTGTATTACGAGGCACGTTACACCACCACACAATAGTAATAATATTTGTATTACAATTTCCTAACAAAAGTATATAAATATGTTATCTTCGTTAAATGTAACTCCTGTTTAAATTATACGATTATACGATACGAATTCTATAATTTAATATAACGTAATCAAATTTTAGGACTCGTGAGCAAATGATGATTTAAGGAAAAAAAAGAAAAAAGGAAAACGAAAAAATCACAATTGTTTAATCGGTTTTCTTATCACCGCTCGATTGCACGAGTTTCGCGTGTTCCTCATTCAAACGATCGTACTCCTTTGTGACTGACTCTGCCTGCGATTTTATCGCCTCTTTATCCTTCTTCTCTTTAGTCAAATTGCTCTCGAGCTCCTGGTTCTTGGCTTGTAACTCCTTGATTTGATTTTTCAGTTCCGAGACAGCTTTATCGTGCGCCTCGTTGGAGTCGTTCTGCGCACTTTCCCCGGTCGTTCTCTGGGATAACAGGCTCCTGGCTGTGGTTGTCGCGGACTGAGCCTGTCGCATGGCCGCCTCATTTTGCGCGAGCAGGGAAGCTTGGGTGGATATCAGGATGACGAGGCGGCGTATCACCAAGCTCAGAAACAGCGCAAAGCCGGATATGTAGAAATTCCTCTGGGCGCGGAACAATCTCATGTTTTCTGGAAGACGTACATAAATATAGATTCGTTATATAGTAACAATCATTAAAAAAATGTTAGAACAGCAATAATCCGTGCCGTATTTGTCGAGTAAAATTGATATGGAAAAAAAACCACAAAAATTTATTATTATATAACCTACCTTGCATTTCAAGGTTCAACTGATGATGATGATCAGCGTGATCCATGCTTCCAGAGTACTTTCGCATCTCCCGTATGGCGTCCAGCAAAAAGAGAACCAGGACGCCCAGCAAAACCACAAAGTAAATGGAAGCCTGATTATTTATACTTTGCAAGAAGCGAGATTTGAAGAGCTTTTGCCATCTCGTAGGCGAGGCCACTGGCAATACCAGGAGGAGGACGAGAAAGACCTCGATGTAGAGGAAACCGGCGATGAGCGTCCACTGTAGACTCATGTTTGACTCTTATTCTACGCCTGTGTACAGGTACCTAAAAAGAAAAAAAAAATGATGAAACACAGGTATGATTGTTACATCTCGAGACCTTGGAAATCAAGTGCTCGTCAAAATTCCATGTTATCAGCTGAATCTCCCTTCTTTTTTACAAAGTGCAGACCACAGCTCTCCTCCCTACCTCTATCTTCCTAGCGTCCGCGAAATACCTGCGCGGCAGGATATGCTAATTACATCAGTGAAAAACAACTTAATTCGCTGCGACGCAATTATCCTTCCCGAGGAGAGCGCGTGCGACAGGAATTGACAAGGATGACACGCGACTTTGAATCGGATCGGTCGAGGCGCAACGTCACTCAGTGAATACACACGATACGAGGATTACGTGGAAATTTCCCGTCGGTCGGTCCTCGAACTCCTCGAAGCTTCGACTGTCACGTTTCGCGCGCGTGGTGGACGATTCGCTACGCGAGGCGAATAGAGCCACGTTGCCGTTGCGGAGGAAACGAATCGCAACAAAACCGCGACGAATCCGCTCTCCGGCAGTCTTCTTCTTCTCGAAATAACACAGGTGCGAAGATATATTTTGAACAAATGTTCCGCAACGATTTCTACGCTGGTCTCGTTCGCCCGGGCGACCGGCGCGGCGACCAAATATCACAGTCTCAATCGTCAGTCGCTGCTAATAAAGTATTCGCCAGGATTCTTACGTGCTTCCCGTGTGAGGACGAGTGACGACGGCGAGAGGAATGGGACACGTCGTCGGCCCGCGGCGACTCTTCTGCGACGTCCCGAGATGCACGAGTGGGCTCAAAGTACGAATCCGAGCGCGAGCAACGGAGCAACGTCGTCGGTGATTTTATAAATAAACCGTACACCGCGTGACGTCACCCTAGCTCCTGGCAATTGGCAAAATACATGGTTCTCTCTTTCTCTCTCGTTTCTCTTTTTCTTCCTCTTTCTCTCTCTTTCTCCCTGTCACGTTTTGTACAATGGCAGTCATATATGGCAGTCGCGTGGATTGATGCAGCTCTCGCACCGCAATTCGCGTTGCACGTGACGAGCGACGACCAATCATCTGCCCCTACGTATTAATCGCCCCGAAGAAGCAGAAGCCGATTGGTCGCTGCGCGAGTAGAGAGTTATTCCCTAGGGCGACTTGGACCAATCACTGATTGATTAATCGGCGATTAATTCACCCGATAGAATTGCTACAATTCGATATACTCTTAATCTTTTTTTTATATCGAACAATGAGAAATTAATAATTAAGGCTAGGGTCAACGTGACGCTACAAATGCTTTGAAGCGTTCTTTTTCTCTTTCTTTCTTCATTGAAAGAAAAGAGAAGAGGAATGCTTCAAAGCATTTGTAGCGTCACGTTGACCCTAGCCTAATGATACATATTTCTACCAATGCAGATTAACTTTAATCTCGGTTTAACATTATTTTTTATCTTTTTCTATTCTTCTGTTCATTATTTCATCATTCATTATTTTATCAATGTAGATCAACTTTAATCTCGATTCAACTTACTTTTATCTTATTTTAGTTTCAAAAGAATCAGAGAAGAGCTGTAGATTGGAGATTCCTTGGCAGGGATACTAAATGTTGATTTAAACATTTTTTTGAAAAGCGCGCCACGGTCAATTTAAAAATGGCGAACGGTGTCCGAATCGGGTCCAAAAACTCGAGGGACTCTAGGGCGATCGGACGCGGGACGGACCCGCCATTTTCCCAGAGCGAAGAGTCTCTAGAGAAACACCGCTCTTCGTCACGTTTACTTTTACTCCTGTCATGGCTCCAGTGTTTACATGCGGAACGTCAGATCCAGTCAGATCGATACCGTGTTCACACGCACGAGTAGGTCCGACCGACGGGCTTCCGACGGTGCGTGAAAGTGCTCGCACACGTGTCTGATCAACAGACGTGCCACGGTGCGATTAATAGACGTGCCGTTGACGGGGGGAGAAAAAAAAGAGGAGAAGGAGAGACCGAGCGAGAGAGCGGGGGAAGGAGGCGACGCCGGCAAGGCGATGGTCCGCTCGTAGCTCCCGTACCGACGACGCGCGAGTCGAGTGTTCGGAGTAGCAGAGAAAATACCAGCCGTCTCGAGGATAGATTCCCGCGCGCAGCTGGGTCTATGGGACACAACGTCGCCAGCCGGGAGATGATACGCACGAGGGAGGAGAGACTGAGCTTCGACGAGGATCAGCACGCGATCATGAACAACATGGTAGACGCGCGGGCCTGTTACAAGCCCAGCGGCAAAGTGAGTTTTAAGTCGAGTTTAAACGCGAAGCGTTAGACGAAACAACCGTCCGGAGTGACTTCGGGCAATTCCCAATTGATCTGAATTGTCTCCGACAAAATTGCCGACTACTTCATTGTCGCTGATCTTTCCATCCGTCGGATAACAAAAATACAAACAATTCTATCCGCGTGATAATAAAATAACATAAGGTTTGTTTCTTTTTAGAAACTCGAACTTTTTGCACCGTTTTTCTAAATGGAGAAAAAAAGATGAAAGTTGAACGCAAGAAATGGCAAGAAACTCAGCTAGAAAGAACAGATCTGGATAGGATTGTTAATTCCCTGTTGTTGGCATTTCGATGCAGGTGTTACTTGATGAGTTGATTGGGAATTGGTTGAAGTCGCCCGTGCAATTTTTGTAAGGAAGACGTTTTTATCATAGATCTGTGCATGCGACTCCCCGTAATTTGCCGTATAAACTCTTCGTATGGCTTTGCGATAGTCGGATAGTAGAAACGACAATCCCTCGGTTCGATCTGGCTGCCGTATGAATTTCGTGGTGCACAGAGGAATGATTTTGAATCGATGTGGCGATAGAATCTTATATTTTAGGCGTTCGATCTGTTTCGTAGCATTGTTGTTATTATTTGTCGTGTGTGCATGTGACACAGCTGGTTTTCGATTTCTTCAGGGCATGCAGGACGCGTTCCCACACGGTAAGAAGTGCCGAAAGATCAGTGGCGAGCATTCGTTATTTTTTTATCGCGTCACTTTTACGTTTAGATGCGCGAAGATGCACCTATAAGAGCGATGGATAAACGTTCAGGTTCGTAATACTCGTATACGATGATTTATTCATCGATACTTTTTCACTGAAACTATGGCTGCGTTCAGCCGATACTCCGCTAGCCTAGCAATCGTGAGCAGTCGCTCGTTTTCGCTCGTTTCCTCTCCTTTGACCCAATGGATTAAAAGGAGAGGAAACGAACGACTGCTCACGATTGCTAGGCTAGCGGAGTATCAGCTGAACGCAGCCTATGATGTATCTTTTTTACCTAAACGGACAAACTTATTTTAATGAATCCCAAATTATGTTCCGAGCGCTTTAAATAATTGATGTATATTAAATTCGCAGCGCAGCCCTTGTCAATACATTCAAGAAATTATCGTATTTCCATTCCTCTTCTACACCTTCCCTGGTGAGTCACCAATCCATAGCTGCGCAAATGAAGTAGAAGGCAGAAATGAGACGCTCGGAATCCACTTGACGATTTGTGTTGCTAAATGGAGCATTCGCAAAAGTATCAAATTCCCAAACATACTTCAATATTGACACTGGCCGGAATCACGTTGCCACAGACGCCGAACCATGCGCGAGGCACTGCGTGACACTACAACAAGCAACGGGCATCGAGTTCTGCGAGCACTGAGCCACTACCGGCACTAGATAGTCACTCGCCTTTGTGCAGTAGCAGCGGAACGGTCGGCGTGGCCGAGCGTTCGTTCGATAGCGCTCGGCTCTTGCACCGTATAGCTCTTGACAGTTCTTCTTTTCTGTGCGACACGAGCGCGTGTCGGTCGATCTCGTAATCGTCTCGTTGTTCGACCAAAAGGAAGGTGAAGAAACGTCGCTCGCATGGCGAATCCGTGTGTACGTATCACAATTTAAACGCCAGACAGTCCTGCGTCCGCCGAAAGGGCCGGAATGTGTCACGTATCCGTATGTAACTCAAACTCCCGATCTTCTTCGACCGCTCGGTTTCGTAATCTCCCCCCCGTAAAGATGATTGATGCGACGGACGTTGAGTCTCATAATCGAGTTGAAAGAGGACGAAGACTTTCCGAGGGCCGAGCAGAAGCTCGACGACACGCTAATAGCAAAATCCGGCGATACCGGTCGAAAAGAGGCGACGTTTTAGTAACGTTTCAACTCGAAGCTGTATGATGTAAAACTCACGGCCTAGATTACCTAGCGCGCGTGACATAAGCCATCAAAGAAACTTCTGTCTTCATGGCCCGCGTCACCGAGATAAGTTATCAAACTACGATCGCGTTGTTGCGAGCGAAATGTCAATAACTGGATATTTTAATCATTTCATGACTCGGAGACTTTAAGTTGACGGTTAATCGGTGGTTTTCGCGATCGAGGGTTTCCTCGTTGAATCTTTCACGCCGATAGAAAACTATTACGATCATTCGGAGCCTTCCAGAATTGAGAGGGGAAAGCGGTTGTTACACTCAGAAAAGAGAAGATCTCGTTAATAGGATCATCGCTGTCTGTAACGACGCGATCGTCGCGATAAACTCGGCCCGAGTCTAATTACGTGAATTGATCCCCACCATTCCCTCGCCCCGAGTTTACTTTAAGTTACGCGCTACGCGGAAACTGCGACGGCCGCGCTTTGACGCGCCGCGCGAGCTTACTCTTGTGTGATTTTATGAGTTGCTAATTAGACGCGTGTCTCATTTTCCTTTGTTTCTTCTAGTAAGCGCGGCGTGAGAGAGCGGCTCGTGTAGTTGTGGTTGCAATATTATCCCACGTCAGTGTTTCTTTCTCTCTTTTTCTCGTTTCTCTTCCCTCTCTTCTTCTCCTCCTGTCTCTCTCTTTCTCTCTCTCTTCGTTTCTCCAACCACCTGCACATGCATGGGTCCTGGCTTGTCGATTACCGCGTCTCCGTTGTGCACTGGCGACGATCGTCTCACCGCGCACGTGTACTCGTCGAGCACCGGCTGTCCCGGACACCAGATCCCGATTAACGTCAGACATGACCAACACTAGACAGGTGAGTACCAATCTCCTCCTCTCCGTAGAGCTCCGTACGCGGAAATCAAAATCGGAAAGGAAACGCGCACCGTTTCTGGCGAGCTGGAACGTGTAGAGCTTGTAATTTTGTATTGAGAGATCGCTTTGGATTATTACTTTATTACATGTTTAAAGTGGACCTTCTTGTAGACCCTGAGCGAGGGGGAGAGTTTCCGGTTTGACCTGCATCCAGTTAAAAGAACGAGTCCCAAACTTCAAGTTTACGCTTGTGCACGTAAAGCGAATTGTTTAGTTTTCAAAGCGTTTTTAAAGTTTTTAAAGTCTGTAAAAGGCGTTCGGAATCTCGTTAAAGTCGATACCTCTTTCGTTTGAAATTTACATGTCAAAATTTCATGTACGTTCTTTCCTTCGTAAACAGTTCGTGCATAGAATTGATGTAAAATATTGTATCTCTATTAATATTGCTTCCGTAGCAACGAGTAGGTAAGCCACAACGTTATTACATAATGTACCGGTTATTGATTTTGATTACGATAGCTTGCACACATTTTACACACAGGGTGTCCCCGATCTACCGAGCCGTCTTTTATCACGTTTGCTTTGATCAGTTTTGATTTAATCTTTTCTCTACAACGGTAGTTTTTCAAATTAACAAGTAACAAAAAAAAATCGACTTTAATTAACGTTATGTAATATTTAATTAACAATTGAACACAAAGTTATAAGTCGCAGTTATAAATTAAAGTTATAAATCGGTAGTTTTCGAGTTATAAAGCAAATATCAATTTTCTCTTTCTCGGGGAGCTAAATGCGGATCCTTTATTTAACTTGAAGTGAATTTTAATCTTCAATTCCAGATTGGCGTCAAAGAGAGTTCGCAGATGAAAGACGGGCTTGAATAGATTCGGGAGACCGCCCGCGCAGAGAATTTCGGAGTTCCGATCCTTTCGCCGCGATTCTTACGCAGTTCTCGCAATCCGCTCGATTATCTTCGTTTTTTATGGGAAAAAGTCGCATAATTCGATCCATCTCACCGCGCTACACTGCGCGCGCCAGTAAAGAATACGTCGATTCACACGAATTCGAGAGAGAGATTTCACATTCGCGCCGTCAATTAGCCACAACCGCGTGTGACTCATTGCGTGCGCGTCTGCAACGTGGCAGCTTCGAGAAGAAAGAAAAACGTAGTTAACAAAATTAAAAAATCTTCGTGTAAAAGAGAAAAGAACCCTTTTTCGAGTGTTCCGCTTTTAGTTTCGAAGGCGCGCGCTTCGCAAATGCAAAATAACGGAACGACGGATACCGCAATCATTGTACCATCGTGTGTAATGTTTTGCTCGCCGGCGCGATTTAATTATCGTGATTCCGCGCGAGGAGCATAAGCGCATATGGGAAAATGTTGTAGACGTAACTACACGTTTTGTGCAAAAGCGCACTCCATCGTTATGTTTTATACCTCATCGCGCATCGTGCATTCGTTCCGCGTCGATTCCTCCGGTCGCTCTATCCTCAGAAGCGCCCGGCTGAAAACTCCGCAATTATTGTCAGCCGATAGCGAAATGTCTGTATTTCCGTTCGTGACGCCGGCAACTTTCTTTTTCACGGTTTCTGAGTAAGAGAGAGTCCTCCCCGAAGATATCGTATACACATGAATGGTATATTTTTCTTTAATTTAATTTTCCTTTTTTTTTTTCTCCCTCGAAATCGTCGCAAATGCGTATACATTATGTCAGTGCGATGTCCTCCTTTTCCTTTTTTTTTTTCCCCCGACATGACCTCTTGAGATTGCAATAATATTCCGATGAGATATCCTGCAACCGGAACGTATATATCGAAGCAGAATTGAAAAGAGACGGGGTTGAGTGATAAAATTGTTGTTAATGATATTTACAGTCGTGGTTCCGCGGCGTTCGGAGCAGCAAGTTTCGGCACGTTTACGGCGTGCCAGCCAAGAGGGAGAAATGCTACGACAACATCAAGATCACGAAGAACGCCCACGATTCGCAATTCTGCGCCGTGAATCCGAAGTTCCTGGCCGTCGTGACGGAGGTTGCGGGTGGCGGAGCGTTCCTCGTGTTATCGTTGGATCGTGTGAGTTATCTGCGTCTTATCGATTTATTGATTCCCTTCCTGTGCAAAGAATAATATTAGCTAACGTGACGCTCGGGCAATCCGAGAAATAAATTCAATCCTTTCTCGCGAACGTTTCAATCGTGTCACATAGTATTCTAAATACGATTAATTATAGACTTTCATGTAACATATTGTATTAGTTATTTATGTATATTATTATTAATATTATTTTCCCAATTATTACAGACCGGTCGCCTCGACTTCAACGCCAGCCGAGTAACTGGACACACCGGTCCCGTTTTGGACATCAAGTGGAATCCGTTCAACGACAACATCATCGCGTCCTGTTCCGATGATTGCACTGTAAGGAACACATTTTGCATTTAATATCGGATGGAGAGCATCTCCACGTCTTATACATCTTCAAAGCCTGTAGATTTCTGTAAACACCGAGTATAAAATGAGAGATTCCAAATTTATGCCAATTACCATATTTAATCGAGAGGTAAACGGGATCACGAAGATTTGGATCTTTGTATCTAGATAAAACTGTGGCACATACCCGATGGCGGATTGTCGAGGAACCTGACCGAGTGGCTAGTGGAGTTGCAAGGGCACAAACGACGCGTCGCTTATATCGAATGGCATCCGGTAGCGGAGAATGTGCTCTTCAGCGCCGGCTTTGATCATCTCGTCATTGTGTGGGACGTGAATAGATGCGAGGCGGTGAGCGTCATCGACAGGCATCCCGATGTGATTTACAGCATGTCCCTAAACCGCGACGGCAGCTTATTGGCGACCACTTGCAAGGATAAGAAATTGCGCGTTTTCGAGCCGAGGTCCAGTATCGTAGTTTCGGTAAGGATCGTTCAAATTTACGATTGTAAATATATTTATTTAACTTTATAAATCCCGAGTGTCATTTTTAATAACCACGAATCTAGAAAATATTTGTGTCTCTAAAAATTATATATTTCTGTTAAATTTTAACAAATCTGAACTTTAATTTTAACAGGAAGGGGTATGTCACGCCGGCACGAAAGCGAGCAAGGTGGTATTCCTTGGCAGTTCCGGACGTCTTTTGACTACTGGATTTAGCAGACATTCGGACCGACAATACGCGATATGGAGTCAGCATGACCTAAATGTCCCTTTGACGTGCGAGACGATAGATTCGTCCAGCGGAGTGGTTTTTCCATTTTACGATAACGATACCAATATGGTGTTCTTAGCCGGGAAGGTAAGAATGTATGACGTGCGTAATATGAACTGTTTAAAACTCGCTGTGTCATTGCTTTCTGCAGGGCGACGGTAACATTCGGTATTACGAAGTGGTTAACGAAGCACCCTGGCTGCATTATCTCAGTCAATTTATATCTGGAAATCCTCAGAGAGGATTGGGAGTGATGCCGAAGAGGGGCATTAGTACCTCTTTGTGTGAAGTATTCAGATTTTACAAGTTACACGCGACTCGTGGAATGTGCGAGCCAATCTCGATGATAGTGCCACGAAAGGCAAGTTTACGTGTACTTAAATATTTTATCTTCTTCACAAAATTTCCTCTCGAATTGTATATTAAAGAAAACTATATTACACGTTTCAGAGTGATCAATTCCAAGAAGATTTGTACCCCGATACAATTGGAACGTGTCCCGCGTTGTCGGCTAGAGACTGGATCAGCGGCATGAACAGCCCGCCAATCTTGATCTCTCTCAAAACAGGTCCTACATTTTTGTATTATAATTTTACACTCTAATTGTACATCGCGAATATTGGTATCGCGCGATCTGTCCCAAACATTATTTAGATTTTATTCAAGCGAGTTATTCTTTGCTTTATTTGTTCTTATATTTACCATTAATACGATAGTAGTTTCTATCGAGTCATATTAATGGATATCATACTATTTATTATTAGGTGGGAGCATCTCTACGCATAAGCCACGAGTATACAAGCCACCGCAACTGCCTGCGACCACCGATCTAAATAACAAGAAGAAATTTGCGTTCTTGTCTACGGAAACGATACCGGATTACAGACCGGTGGAATTGCACGATATGTCGGAAAAGAGTCAAAAGACATCCAGCAATCAAAGCACAAAATTTCAGCAACTTCAGCAGAAATTTGGAAATGTTGCTATACAGGTACGAGCGTAATATACGTATATTATATCGTTGATTTTTTTTATATACTTTATATTTCATATATTTTTTTTTTTTTATTAGAAGAATATTATATCGTCTTCGCTTAATGACAATAAAGTTATGGAGACTGTGGACGTTCCAAACAATGAAGCGGAACTTCGTTTGGCATTTGCTCGTCAAACCGACGAATTGAGACTGGTGCGACGGCAGCTCGCTAATAGTCAGCTGCGCGTTAAAGAATTAGAGGACCAAATACGAAAATTGCAGCGTCAATAAAATTTACAAGCTCGCTTCAACATCGCTTTTGAATAAGACTCTTGCAGCTTTACTCTGCTATACGTGATTCAATCAATACTTAAAGTTTGATTAGAGTATTTACGCACCGCTAATAATGATAAAGAGCCTAAGCTTACAAGAACTTTGTACTAACACGCTTAGGAGTCTAGCTTCGTCATATATTCATACACAAAGAAATATTCGCACAGAAAAATTTTTACGAACTTTTTTTGGGATATCTACAATTTTTATGTAGGACAAAATTGTCGCGTTGATCACGAGGGAACAGAAAAAGTAGGCTGCATTTGTTACATGAAAATTGTACCTGTTCACGCACACATTTAGATGTGTAAGTCGAATATTAAGAAGTTAAGAGAAGCACAATACCTTTAGACAAATGGCAGCGTAAAGGTAATTCATGATGTGTTATAAGTTGAATAATGTATTTTACTTTTTTGAAACGATATTATGTTAGTACTAGTCTGTTAATTGTTTATTTTTTTCTATTAATGTTCGCAACTCGCTTATTAGTTACTTGACAATTAACTGATATATTATTTAATATATTGCTCCATTATTAAAGATACAGATCTTTTGAAAGACAGTATTTCTTTGCATATTATCATGTAGATTATTGTTTCTATTTGTATTACAAATTTATCTCTGCAACGCGTAAAATGAATTTTGTTGCCGATTTATTATATGCTCTAAAAGTCGATATGTCGTATATGTACGAGTGGACTAGCGTATTCATATATTGAGCATTTTGCTATCGCATATATTTTTCACTGCCATCCACTGCCACTCCGTGATGTTGATGGCAATAAGATCTCTAAATCTATGAATGCAGTGATAATACCTAATAAATGTCGTGATTAGTCAAAAGAAAATTAGCATAAAATTTCTTTTTATACGATAAATGCACAGTGTAATGTACGTGCGACTAACGAGATCGTTGAACAATGTACAATCGATGATGTGACAGTAAATGGACCTTATATTTTTAAGAAACGTTTAACGCGATTCAATGTCGATTTAATTCACCTGAGCTAACTTAAAGGGAATACGATAGCAAATGTATTAGGACACTTATTTTTAGCATTAGCCTCGTAGCTCTCGTAGTTTCTGAGAATCATACAGAATTATATTTCTGCTTTGATAACAATAATCAAGTCGTATAATGATTTATATAGTATATACATATACGTTTATATGCGTATTTTTCATACAACTGTGCAATTGTATACCGTGGTATAAATATAGTACCTGGATGCTACATCTCACATATCGCCTGTGAGTATGAAATTTCATTGTCCACAAAATGTAATAAGGATAAAACACTGATACAGCAACATGTGACGTAGCATTCCCTAGTCTTTCTTCACTAGTTCTTTACTTTGTAATCGTTATTAGCTTTAATTACCCGTAAATGAGATATTTCATTGAGACCCTCTTTTAGATGTACCAACTTCTTCGAGAGCATGAAGTTACATATGCTGTATTAGGCATTTTATAGGCAGTAAAATATTGCAAGATAGTTTGTAGCTATATTTTCGATATTCATATTGGAAGCAATTTCTATGACATTTGTAAGATGATTCGTTTTCGTGATAGACGTAATGTAACGAAATTTATAAATTTCGCTACGAATTATAAATTTACTCCTGATGTAGTATCGTGACGCAATATGCCTGTATCGTGATTTATATGTAATATTTATACATGTCAATTAAATATATTATTGAGACCCAATCCAATAATTTCTTGTGCTAAATAGAAAAATACCAAAGAGTGTCATCATATAACACATTACGGGCCAATTTATTGCGTATGCCTGAGAGATTTATGAACAAGGAAGTATGATACATGGCAAGCGGGAATCTCATAATAAAACGCACAGTAATCAATTTAATCCTATGTATTATGTCAGTACATAGCAAAGATAAAAAAAAGTGCAGTATATATATCTCTCTTTGATAAATTATATAAGTGTATCTTAATTATACAATTGCTGTTTTAGAATTTTCTATCTCTGAGTCGAGTGGACGGACATATTTCACTTCAGTTCTTATTGTTTTGTTAGTCTATATATCATTAAATATATGAAATATACAAAAATATTAAATATATAATAAAATATACAAAAATACTATTGTCCTAAAAATAATGAGACACATTACATCCTAATTAAGGTAATAAAAATATGTTAAAAAGTATATAGAAAAAGAGAGCCTTAAAACAGTAATGCTCTTTGAAATCTGCTTTGATACGATTACATGTAAAAATATTGTTAAAATATTTCTACCTTTCTATAAGAATATCATTTCAAACAATTTTAAAAAACGAATGAATATCAAGATAAAAAATAATTTTAATATTTCAACTGATAGAGATAAAACAATCCCATTATGGGATAAAGTTGCAAAAAAGTTTGGATGAGATTAATCGTTACGTTCTCATATTGATAAAAAAAGTCTCACATTTATAAATGCTACACCCCGTGATGATAAAATATTATTGGCAGTAGTCAGAAATTGATTAGAATTTGATTTGATATACGCGGTTTAAAAATATTTATAAAAAAGCGCAAGAGATTCATCGACAATAAATTTGTCAGGCTCTTATCTAATCGTCAAGCTCTCAGAGAAGCTTCTACCTGTGAAACAGCTTTTTCCAGACTACCACTAAACTCGCTGGCATAATCCATGTATACATCGCGTTCGGCACGAAGGATAATGCTGAGTTACATCCGTCTTCGGAACACGTGAACACACAAGTGCGATAGGTCAGCTTGTCACCCGGCTGTTTCACGTAGTCGCAATAGTTTCCCATGTGCACGGACGAGCAAAATCGCTTTGTACCAATGCCACCTGTTTCCAGAAGTATAGCGTTAATTGTAGAATATATTCTAAGCGATACTACTAGAAAAACTTATTGAAATATGTAATATCAGAGAAACGATTGCTCTATCTAGAAGCTTGTTTATTCGAACATGTTGATTTGTATTTGAAAGTTAATTTTGAGAACGAACGAGTGAGCGGACTTTAAATGTGCAAACACATATCTAATCGAGAATTGGAAAAAGCGTGGTACCCATGTAACATGCAGGATGACGAAGAGGTACATATTTTTTATAAATATTTTGTGAAAAATAATTAACATACATTTTTAAAATATTGATTTTTTTCAACAAAACGATTTTTTTTTCTAAATTGTTTCAAAGGCCGAAAATAGAACATATGAGTGAAAGGAAACCAATTAATGTCAAAACGATCACTTTTCAGAACATCAAAAAAGTATATTCCATCTTTCGTTTCTCCTAATAAACGTTTCACAATAAATTTAAGAGTTTACGACTGATATAAACACCGAGTATTGAGAAGAATCAATAAGTTGAAAGTGTTGAGTTCGTATCTCCGATATGAATTTCATAAAGCTCTGTACACTTCAATCCCAGAATTTCTTAAATTCTATTAAAATAATTACACGATTAATCCTTCTCCGTTTTCGACAAGCGATCGTTTCCACGTAAAAATGACTCGGAAGGGAACACTCATGCACACACTCGACGATAAAAACACAATTTTTGATATAAAAACCTCCGTAACGGCCGATTGATTTGATGCAATAACGCGCCCCGTACACGTGACTACAATTTCTCGGCACCAAGAAATTTTCAACCAATTCGCTATCCATGCATTTCCATTCATCCGCCGACGTGCACTGATAGCAATCCAAGGCCGTAGCTTAATTGAGAAAGCAACAATTAAATTTCTAATCGAAACTTTATGACGATATTGATGTTACGCAAGTTTCCCAATGATAGACCGTAAAACAATAATTATGAGATAACACTTATAGATGTACGTCCGTGAAAATGATGACCTACTGCAACGATATAAAAACAGAATTTTTGTTAGTAGATGAATTTTTCGCAACATAAAGGATCATTGGAACGCAATTTATTCCATTCTTGTAAAATCATTGCATCTTGTATTATCATTACAATGATTATCATTCCGTGATAATTATTTTTGTAAAATAGAATAATTTTTGTAAAATACATAGAACAATCATTGAAATAATCATACATGTGATTAAAAAATTACTTATAATAATTCAGTGTGTTAGTGAATGCGTTCCAACGTCTCGAATGTATAAAAATATGTTCCAGTATGTTGAAAAGATCTGGAAAGAATTCGATTGTTTAAATGCAGGGTCGCCGGCATGCTCGATTGATCTACGTGTAGGATTATTAGGAGTATGATTGTTAGAAGAGTTAATCAGCCTTCCCCCGCGCCGCCACTGTGTTAGTCTCCCAAGCAAAGGCTGTACGGAATTGTCTTCGTTGTTGTTTACCCTCGAAACGGCCTATGTGCTTGACACAATACTGCGCTCCGTAAACATCGTCGCACGACGTAGGCTGAAGATCCACGTCGCTCGTCAGGAATTCGTTGCACTGAAATGGGTACTCGGTGCTGGTGCTGTTACACTGGTAGCACCGTATGCCGTATCCTGGATAAGAAATATCGCTCTGTTAAACCACCGAGAAGAGGTAGACGAGATCGTCCTGCGCGATCTTGTTGCTCAGTCGTGCGTCAAGTGGAAAACAACAATTACGGAAAACAATACAGACGCTATACTCATTTGACGATACAACGCAAACTTTGAACAGAGCGAGGATATCGTTAATCCTCCAACTTTGCCAAGCACGAAGCTTCGCAAAAACAATTTCACTTATTCTACAGGTGTTGTGTATTTTGATTCTTCAAGTGTTCCGTGACGCATCGCGCGTCACAGAGAAATTGCTGGATTTCCGTCCTGAAATCTGAAAGTGAATTACAGATTGTTCGAAGCGCAGGACTCGAGGTCTCTTTCTCTCCGAGGAAGAGAAGCGCGAGCCGCGGCGCGGCAGACGTCGGGAGGCCGCGTTCCTCGTAGCCGCGCCTAAAACGAGACAGCCCCGCCCAAGGCGCGTCGTCGTCGCGCGTTAACCTCACCTGTCTCCACCAGCATCGAGAGCACCGCCAGAAACGCGCACGCCGCGACGCAGCGACTCGCGACAGCCATGTTCCGCGGGATTGCGGCGGTCTCGCGCGGTCTCCGGATCACCCTCCGTAATTCCGTTCGTCGACCCGACGACGACGATCCCTCGTCGAGCACGAAAGCTGGATGTGACGTAATAATCGCGCACACCGTTTCCCGTTTCGACGTCTTCGACTTCGGTTTCCCGCGAACTTGGACTCGAGCCTTTCGAGATTCTCCACCGACGTGAAACTCGCCGTGGACAACAACGTGAAGGTGCCGCGAAGTCGCGTACGCGCACCCTGAACCTGGCCGCGAGGCAAAACTCCGTGAAGTCGTGCGTTTCAAACGTGCGCTCGCCGAGGAATCGCGTTTCGAGAGTTGCCCGACCTGCTCCGCCCGTCGAAGAAAATCACGCATGCGCGTTGCGTTTGTTTTCCTCGGGATGATGAGACGGGCGACGATTAAAATGACGAGACAATTAGAATTTTCAAGCTTCAACATTTAGCGAATGAAATAATGACGCACGAAGTTGGTTGAAGAGTCGCAATGATGATCTCCCTAGAACTTCTCCTTCGTGAAATTCCCCCTCTTCCCTTTTCATTTAAAACAGCATATAGCTTGCCGTATTATTGAAGTTTATGTAAATTAATTGAAGTTTATAAATTAAAAATGTATTCATGAGGGAAGCGCGGGTTTATACGTTATTGGTATATATATGTTATCATTTATTTCGCCAACAAATTTTCGCACGTAAATAACATAACAGCTTCTACTTTTATATGTGCGAACCATCACGAGATGGCAAATAGAGAGAAAAACATTTATATATTCATATAACACAATACTAATCTAATATACAGGACGTTTATCTCGCTATGCGATTATCTCCGAAACTATTGTTCAGAAGAAAACGTAAGTTTAAACAAAGATATATCTCTATTAAAAAAAAAAAGATTACTAGATTTATAGAGATCTCGTTTAGATCATTATATAGTTTTACTGACGGTAGAACGCAGTAACTTTAACTAAAAATATAATATTTTTGAGACGAGCGCTAGTTTCCAAGATAATTAAACGTTAATTGCAAAGATTAAAGTAAAATTCTACGTAAATAATAAATATCGGTGTATTTAAAAAACGGTATATATACGCCTAATATGTAATAAATATATACATAGTAACGTGATATATACATTTCATTATGACTTAGATTTCACCCTTCGAATGCGAAGAGGCAACATATCACTTTGTGAAAAATTAGAAACGGCGTATGAAACGATAGAAATACCCATGCGTCCATGTTGCATCGCCAAATAATATAAATAACTTAACATTTCATTGCACATTATACGCAGGATGTATAAAATTTGCCACGTAAATACTTTTATTCGTTTTCGCCCGTCTTCCCGTTGATTATATCTCACTGGTCGTCCTGTATATATTACAATATATGCAAAATATCTTTCGGTAAAGAAGAAATACAGGAAGTCAATGGCATTGATTGATTTTCTGTATTTTCTCTCGGGTTAATAATTCGTTCTTAAGTGTCCTAGCTGAGCTCATTTAGGATTTTGCTTCGCGCTCTCCTCGAGCACGGAACTCTTAACAGCAGTCTTGTTAATTTTTTTCAGTTTGGAAGACTCGCTCGGCTTTCCTGCAGCGACCCTGGCTCTATCGTGCGCCCCTTGAACGTTCTGCTTGTCGCAGGCACGCGGCACCTTCGGGGATACCTTTGCGCCAGTCTCCTCCGCCGCACCGGACGATTCACCGACCTCGGGATGAGGCTTGGACGTTCTCATAGACGAGATGAGTTTCAGTCTCTTCGCGCCGTGCCTCACCGCCGTCGTTTCCTCGGAGGAAACGCGCGTCTTCGTCGAACTGTTCGCCGCCTTTGGCTTCTTACTCGCGTTTGAACGCGGCTCCTCGAGGTTGTCGCCGCCGATCGCCGTCCCCGCGTCGACCTTGGATCTGTTCGATCGATAGCGATCGATCGTCTTCATAAACGGCTTCGCCTCCACTTCGGACTTGATCGCGCAGATTATCGCGCTGTTCTCCACGTTGTTGGCACAATGGTTCTTCAAAGCGCGACGCGCGAGCGTCTGCCGGGGTTTCTTACAGCTCTTGATCCTCTTCACCGCCGTGTAAAAGGAGGCGCCGCGACGAAGGATGCACTTCTTCACCAGGTTGCCCTCGCTCCTTATCGCATTCCTCGCCCCCGTCACCGCGTCGTTTAATCTCGTTTCTAATTCCTTCAGGATGCCGCTGCTCCGCGCAACGTTATCACCTGCTTCGTTATCCTGCGAATGAAAGGCATACAATTGTAGATTCGGAGATGCGTCTTACATATAGTACAGAAACAGCCACGTACCACGGTAACAAACATAAAGATAAAACACATGTGAGAGAGAGAGATTGATTTTATTTCGATTATCGTTGTTATTACGACCGCAATCGTTTGCACGGTTATTTGTTACATATAACGATTATATTAATTATACAAATAAATGACTTACCCCCTCGCGGCTAAACACATCGAATATAATTGGGCACGTACCATACACTTTGAAAAAAGAACGAAAAGACGAAGCGCATCTACATGTATAAAAACTTCAGAGAAAATTATAAAGTGAGCAAAAGTGTAGCGAATTGCCTGAACACAACTAAAAGCCACCTTGCCGATAATTTAAATGCATATTATCAGAAAGGATTAATCATAATTTATTAGAAAATCGATATTTAGCGAGTGAAAATATTTGGTTGACGCATGCTAGAGTGCTGTGTGAGGTACATGTGAAGCACAGGATTCATCATCTACGTGTTTCGCTGGCGATCATAAAAACTTGCGGACGATAATCTTCGACGCGGAGTCGAGTCTCTTTTGCGTTCTACTGCACTTCATTGCCCATTTCGTTTGCTTGCAAACACGATGCACGATTCATGCCAAGCTGTTCGTCGGGATCGATTGGTATCGGGATATCAAATAAAAGTAAGATAAATAAATGATCGCTAAAAAACTGTAACATTTATTAATACAGCTGGATATGTGCAAGCTCGTGTGCGATACATTGTGAAATTTCTATAAATGTATGCGTACGTAATACGAGCCGAACTTTGGGAGCGATTTGTTCAAAGTTTGTTTGCCGAGATCGAGATTCGTTATTTTGACTTCTTGAATATTATCTACTCATGGGACATTAACGTTGCACATATATTACATCTTTCATATATAATGACGTCCAACATTGATAAATTTATATGTTTACATTATCATTTGATATAGATATATTGATAATGGAATTATATGCCGGGAAACAACAGATATACTCCTGACAATTTGTAATTTATGAAGTAAACTTTTATAAACTTCTATATATTGTTAAAATGAGTAACGTTTAAGTTTGAATTAACAAACTGCCATATATCACTTCAACAATCCCATCGTCCAGAGATATAAAACGGTTTAACCACTTATATCTCTCCACGTCGTGCCCTTCGCTAAAGAAATAGATATAATTAATATACAAACATCTGTATAATATTAACGTTTTGTTTCACAACAATTCGAATCTTTTAAAAAGACACTGCGTAAATTAGATTATGTGATCGTAAGTGCACTTGCGTACATTGTTGGTGAAAAATATATGCATAAAAATTGATTATTTACAAACGATTATTAAATACAAATATCAAATACGACCATAGAAGCGTTAAGATTTACGATTAATGAACACTTTACTGAGTTAGCCACAATATAAAATGAGTCAATAATACAAGATATTTGCACCATATATCTTATTCGTCTCATCTTTCTTTATCAATTAATATTAAAATTGTCATTTAAAAAGAAATTAGCGTACGTGATATATTTTGTGTATAAACATTAAAAGCAAGTCATTTATATAATGAAAGTAAAAACGGTACATCATGTATATAATTCACAAATTATATACATATATAATTATATAAATACTAAATTTTATATTATTTTGTTCTGTAAAAGTAATATACAATTAAGAATATATAATTGAGAGTCTAATGTATAAATTTATCCAAAGAAGTATATGGAATATTATTGTCTTGTTTAAATATATCAAGTCATAAGTATATGGAAGACCCATTAAGAAAAATTATGTCAAAGAGAGTTTACATGTAGCTTTCTTATATATAATATTTCGTATATAACAACATAATAAATACTGTAATATCATTATTGTCATAAAGTATTTCAATTACATATTTTTATATAAATGAATAAAAAAAAAAAAAAAAAATAAATAAATAAAAAAACTAAATTGTTTCGATATAAATTCCAAAACTTTAATATAATTTGAGACATAACTCGCCAAATTTGATTTGTAAACATACAAAATCTCTCTCCCACTTTCCTAGTTATGCACAAATGAATTTATGTTGGATTAGGCACTAATGGGTTGCAGTGTTAATGCTAAACTAATATATAAAATTAGTCGCTGAATATAATAAATGGATTATGATAATACACACTGGCTTATGTCAGCATTACAAATGTCACTCTCACTATTTACATCAAAATTTACCTTACGCACTGACTTGCTGGGCGGTGCAGAGATATTGCTCACGTATGTTAATTTCAAGTGAGATTTTACTCCCCTTAAAGAGCGATATTGGCTATTTGGCAATCGGCTGTTGGGATTGTTCCCAGTGAGATCGAGAATGGAAGGACCTAATGCTGCGCCAACCTATGTATTATCAATGATACATATAATAGAAGTTTTAGCGACATTGTGTTTCTCAAATGAAAGGCGAAAGCAAAATATATTTACCGCCTCAAACACTGCCGGCGTATATTTCGGTGGAACGAACATGTGATTCATAGTTTTATTCACCCCATCGCGAATTCTAGCGGGTATCATATTCACCAAACGGCCAGAGTTGTAATTACACTCTAGAGTATAGCTGCGTATTAGACCAGTCATCTTATACACTGCCACGCGTCCCGAGCCTTCTCTGGACATACCGTCTCGTTTGTCTCTGTAAAAACATACCAATACTGTATTTAACATCCCAATACAAAATTGGGATATATGTATAACTTCTGTGATGGCAGTAGACTTTACTTACATAATATACATATTTCGTTCCGCAAAATTGCACGACGTGAAATGAAAGTTTGGATTGTTGATAGACATCACTTTGGGTAGCAGCATGCATGCGATAGTATCTTCTGGGTCAGTAAAGTGATTTCCATACATGAAAACGCCTTTCTTCGAGGCATGGCCGTGAAGATCGATATACAGATATAACCCAGAATTATCTGAGGATTTTGATGTCTCGTTTACACCGACGGTCGTACCAGTTAGTTTGTCATTCGTTCCGAGTTCTGTAGCGGTATCATTTTTACCTTGTTTAGATAGATCCTCGCTTTTATCTATACACGACAAAAGGCAAATTATGGACTGGAAATTGCGAGATAAATTAATAAGGTTTTATTACTTATATAAAGTGAATATCAGTACCAATAGCTGCGCTGTCCAAATGCTCTAACGTCAACAAATGTTTTTTGTTAGTATCTAGAGCACACCTGTTCTTCTCATCTAATGACATAAATGTTACCTAAAAAAAGTAATAGTATTAGAAGAATACTATCGCAGCGCTACACGTAACGTAAAATGTATTATTCTTTAGAGCTCCTCGTAATTTCATTCACAATATAAACAAAATGTTATTAAGGGAAATTCCGTAGGTTTTTGTCATACTTGTTGCAACAGTCTTGTGGTTGTGTCACGTACAGCGTTTGCTATCGAAGCAGTCGAATTTATAATGCTTACATTGCTGTCCATAATTTCTAAATTTATATTCGATAGGTCAGTTAGTTCGCTCGGTAGTTGATAAGAATTGTGATAATATCTATAAGAAAAGCATGTGAAACTTGACTGTGCATAATATGTATATTACGAAGCGTCAAGGTAATTAGAAATACAAGTGCTTACTGTATTAAGTTTTTTGCGGCATATATCGTAGGATGATCTACTTCAGAAGGATTTAGATAAACTCTATTCAAATTTATTCCCTTAGTGTCCATTCGATAATGGCCTTTGGCAACACCATCTGGGTTGAGCATCGGTATCAATTTGAACACGTATAGGCGACGTAAATTTATAGCAATCTGATCTTCCCGACTTAATAAAAAATTGAGGAAACCATTTAGAACGAAGCTAGATGGTGTTTCACCTGGATGGACTCTGGCGCTAATAAAAATTACCTAAATGCATAATATAATCGTATATATAAATGGATTTCTCTCTTCAGATCTCAGAATTCATTTTTCGTTAGAATATCGATACGATACCTTCTTGTCCCGAAATTTATAAGGCCTCTCCTCACTTTCCTCAGGGAACATATTATTCAGTCTATCTTCTCTCTCCGTTGATATGTTGTGATAGGAGCTTATTGTTAATACATCTAATCTACGATCCTCCAGTGATTTTATTGCACATTCTCTATGATAATAGATGTCATCCGCAGACATTACACTCCTCTTTCCCATTCTCGCATCGATCCTTCTCAAATAATTTTGCAAATCTGTATATGAGAATGGATAGGTGAAGGCAAAATAAGTAACGGCTTTTGAATTTTCTGGAGTGTAATAGAGGAACGATAAAGCAAAGTCGTTCCCTCTCTGGTCAAGCTGCAACGTTAAACAGTACGCTATATATCTGCCGGCACAAATTATCACATATAATCTCGCTACATTCTTAAAATAATTTCTATAAACTATCCAAGCTGCAATTACAGTGTATGTTGGCTTTTCGCGAATCCGCTCCCAGTGCAGGTGTCCCGGCACAATCTTAAAGACCGGACACATCCCTTGGCTAAACATCTTGGCTTGCTTGTTCAGATTGACTACGTTAAATCTGACCGGGACACTCGGCCGACTAGACTTGACACCGAAATAAAACCAGGTTCTATTGTTGTTTTGGAATTGCGTGCCGTGACAATCGTGCTTCGTCCACAGGTTGAACTCGTAATCCAACGTGTCTTTGGAATTTGAGCTATTGGTCGGTTTGCCTTCAATCTCGTAAACATCTAAAAATAGTGAAACCTGGTATTGTATCGTTACATAAGGAGAACATTGGCGATCGTACAGCTCATTGCAAATGTATTTAGATTCCTTCAAGGTGAAAAACCAGTCAATTTGATTACATAAAAACAATCCTCCAGTTCAATGACACTTACATCAACACACGTACACAAATATTGAAAATCAATCTAGGTCTGTAAGATTGTCCCGGCATCAAGGGAAGGTGATTGGCGTTTACCTTTCTCAAAGGTCTCCGGGATCCTCACTGCTTCCACCTTGGCCAGATTAGCCGAGTCAAAGTTATTGAGAAACACGAAGCCGCCGCAGGTAATGTTCTCGGCTGTGCTCGCCATGACGCGTCAGAGAGTTACGTCTACTGCAGAATCGTAGGACGCGCGGCAGACGACGAAGACGAATTGCCCGTTCATGTGGTGGTGGTGTGTTGCTGTACCGCCGCCTGTGGAGGCGCAGAGCTGCCGGACAATCGCTGCGCTTCCTCAGGCACGATCGCGCCCGTTCGTCGGCGACGGCATCGCGCTCATTCCCGCTGAGCGAATCGGCTCGATCCGAGGATCCGACGACTCCTTCGCGCGATCATATGATCTCTATTTACGACGCGCATACATACGCACATACACACACATATGGGTGTTGCGCGCAAGAATCCGCAGCCCTCAATGCGGTAACGCAGCCGCGGTAGAAATGGTAGAAACGAGATCGTTCATCCCTTGGGCGACGTTGAACTGCGTTGAACGTAGAACGTAGTTTCCTCTTGGTCCTCAATGGATCATCGACCAGCGAGATTAACCTGTCACAAAGCACACAAGAGTGAATGAATAGTCTTGTCTGGGTCAGGTGTGCGGCTGTAGGTCGCTGAACTAATTGAAAGGCGAGGCAACGACGCTCGTATACTGGCTTTATTACTCGTTATCGATCGTTTGGTTTTTGCATAGATTAATTCGATCGGCGAGTGAATCCGTGTTGGTCGGACGCGCAACAGTTGAAACGTTTGAACGGGAACTCCCGTGCGTGCGTACGAGAGATTTTTATACGATATACGACACCTCACTGCATTCTAGGATAATCGAGGCATTTTGATCTGTCACCTGCGAACGTCACCGGTACGATGATATCAGTATTTTGTTACGGAGCGACGTCGCCCCCACGTCGTACGTCGACGGCCTACGTTTGTTTTGCGTCTCTCCCGAGAGTTGCCTGAAATTTCGAGAATGCAATTTAAATAAATCTGATTTCGTTCCTTTAATATATAATTTTATTGAATTTTCGAAAGTAAAGCAAAATATTTGTTGTCGGTGTGACTTTACCAACTGTAATCGTTGAGTATACAGTTTTCTAAATTCTTGGAACTTTGAAAAATTTTAGATAGCACTCTCTGTTATGTTTTCTTATTAATTCTTCGATTTTTGTAAATTTTTATATTTTTGCATTGAAATTTTTCAAAATTAAAATGCCAAAAATTACGAGCCTTACAATTTTTATTAATGTAATATATGAAAATAGATGTGGAGGGATATTTACAAGTGTTTTGTATCATTAACGCACGTTTGATTAATTTATTGTATTTTGAAAAATTACATAATTTATACATTATTATTATTTTATATATACATAGGGATTTTTTGCTTATTAACAATTATATAAAATTTTCGACTTATATAGATATTAAATTGTCGTTATCAAAATATACTAAATATGTTAAACTGACATAATGATTTTAAAATTAAAATTTTACATTAAAACAAATGACCGACGCATGATAAACACGAGTGATTTTGCGTTTCTGTGGCAGCGCCATCTTGAAAGATTTCCACGAGGTTTTCTGCAGCGTTCTGTCGATAACTGCAGCGTGATACATTATCGATGGAGCTCCGTAAGTTTCACGAACTATGGCGCGAGGTAAAAGTTTCAAAATGGAGGCGTCTTGAAAGGGTATGTATGTATGTACACACATCGTCTAGAATGTATAAATAATTTATTTATACGGACGCAATCCGTCTGTAAAGATACCGCCGATACAGCGACAAGGTAACTCAAATCATAACGTAAATCGAAGGGTTCCGAATATGACATAACGGTAAAGAGTATTACGACACATAGCATTGAATCATTTTATAGCGAGCGAGCTCAATATTCCTCCTCCTCCTCGTCGATAACGGCATTTTCCTGCACCTCACGATAGTCGAGCTCCAAAGCGGCCAGGTCCTCCCGGGCTTCCGAGAATTCGCCCTCCTCCATGCCTTCCCCGACGAACCTGCAAGGTATTCGGTATATATCGCGTCTGAATAAGTTATGCAGTTGAATGCAAATTGCCATCCCGGTCATTTCTCATTACAGCCGTCTTGAAAACAAACTCTTCTTACATTCGAGGTGGACACAAAAATTATACGAAATGCGTTAAGGAAAACATTAGAAAAAGAGAGCGTTGCTTCAGGCGACTTTGATCAAACTCCGATAATTCAATCAGAATCGACTCCAGCAAAGTTTCTTACAGTTATGCAAAACTCGTCCTTAAATCCAATTTTTTCCCCACGTGTCAGGCAATAAATCTATCTGTATTAAATGGTGCAGGTATCGCGTGATGAGTGGATCGTCGTCTAAATTTATCGAAGTTTGGTCGAGATCACCCTTGACAATTTGTCTCAAACAGAGAATCTTTGGCGACTGGTCTGAGCACGATAACGCTAAACTCACGACTTCTTACCAATGCACGAAAGCTCGCTTGGCATACATGAGATCGAACTTGTGATCGAGTCGGGCCCATGCGTCCACGATCGCCGTTGTGTTGGAGAGACAGCATACCGCTCTGTCCACTCGCGCGAGATCCCCGCCCGGCACGACCGTGGGTGGTTGATAATTTATTCCCACCTGTTAATGCGTTTGCAATGATACTCGATTGCGATCGAATTGAAAATCTCGGCAAGGTGAATCAAGAGGAGTTCATAAACGTTTATTCTATGTAATTGTTGAAACTATTTCTTTCCTGATTCGGTCTTGATTCACCTTAACTTTTAATTTCTCTCCGTTCTAAAAATTCTTTTGATCGTTTCAAAATCGCACCTTGAATCCCGTCGGGCACCATTCGACGAATTGCACGTGTTTCTGCTTTTTTATCATCGCGATCGCCGCGTTTACGTCCTTGGGCACCACATCGCCCCTGTACAGCAAACATACCGCCATGTACTTTCCCATGCGCTGATCGCAGTTCACCATTTGATGAGTCGGTTCGAAACAGGAGTTCGTTATCTCCGCGACGGTCATTCTCTCGTGCCCGGCCTTCTCCGCTGACATAACAGGAGCATACGTGGCCTGCGTGATAATAAATACACAATTAATACGTAACTAAGGTACAATTATTGTCGATCAAATGATCGTCCATTCGATTTCTACGTTATAAACATTAAATTCATATTTTTAGAAAACGTCGCTTACGAGCGGAAAGTGGATACGTGGATAAGGAACTAGATTCGTCTGGAATTCGGTGAGGTCGACATTCAGGGCTCCGTCGAATCGTAAACTGGCGGTGATGGATGAGACCATCTGTCCAATCAGCCGATTCAGATTCGTATAGGTCGGTCGATCGATATGTAGGTTCCTTCTGCATAGCTCATAAATGGCCTACGGATAACACGCGATTGTAGTGACAGACTTCGCTATTGCCGCTCCGTGTAAGGAGTATATAGACGACATTGTCCTAATAAACTTCATTTTAGACATGTGAAATGTTGAGTAGAAAACACGCGAGCTTCCTGCTGAATAACGGCGTTTTCTCTTGGAATCCATTTCTAAGAGAAATTGCCGTTATTTCGCCGATCGATTTGTCGATAACTGGGTGATAAAAGCGTTTATGAGATTCGGGCGATGTGTAAGTTTTACAAATGTGAAATTTAATATGCCAATTTTCGATCGACGTTTACGACAAAGGTACGGACCTGATTATCTACAATGAAAGCCACTTCGGTATGCTCTAACGTTGTATGAGTGTACAGAATTGCGTTGTAAGGCTCCACTACCGCAGTCGATACCTATAAAAAATGTAAATGCTTTAGTAACGAACGGGACAATTAGATGCTTAAACAAATCAATCATTTCGAAGTTCTTTGGAAAACTAGAAATCTATTACATAAGCCTGATTGTAAATAGAGAAATGTATATGTATATACAAATATATATATATATATACCTATATACATGATACGATTATATCACTTGAATTTTTCTCCCAAAGAAATCAGAATTCTTGAGCACGAAAATTTGAGATATTCTGGCGAGATAACGAGAATAAATATTACCTGTGGCGCCGGATAAATGCTAAAGGTCAGTTTACTTCTCTTCGGGTAATCGTCGGATAATTGTTCCATAAGCAGACTCGAGAATCCGGATCCCGTGCCACCGCCGAACGAATGGAAGATTATAAAGCCTTGCAACCCTTGGCACTGCTCCGTCAGTCTGTGTATTCTGTCCAAAGTGAGATCTATGATCTCTTTTCCTGAAAAATCGCAAGATTAATAACGTAGGACTATCATTCGTGAACTTTGCTATAAAAAATTCAATATATTAATAATTAATCAGTTTAATGATAGAATTCTCTAAAAGAATCGAGCGCAATCTTCAATTATTCAAAGCACATTTACAATACAATCTACTGTACATTATAATTGAGCTTCGCCTTATTACAGATATATAATGTGGTGGAAAATTAAGATACCTATTGTATAATGACCCCTGGCGTAATTATTAGCCGCATCCTCCTTCCCGGTGATCATTTGTTCCGGATGGAACAATTGCCTGTAAGTGCCCGTGCGTACCTCGTCTAAGATATTAAAAACTCATTATATCATCTTAATTTCATCAATTTTTAATGTACAATGCGCGTGTTTTAAAAGAAACTACAAAGAACAAACGATCAACACCAGAATCCTTTAAGGATTAATAATTAAATTTTTAAAGACCAGCTCAACAGTCTAAAGTTATAAAAATTATCTCACAACATTCTATAATCTCTCTATAATCAATGAGTTTTTATTCTATATATTCCTATTATAATGCTCGAAAATCGATAGTTACTCTAGGGCACTTGCCTATCACCGTTGGCTCGAGATCGACCATAATCGCTCGCGGGACATATTTTCCCGAACCTGTCTCGGAGAAGAACGAGTTAAAGGAATCATCCCCGGAGCCCGGGGTAGCATTGCTCGGCATCTGCCCGTCCGGGTGTATACCGTGCTCCAGACAATAGAGCTCCCAACAGGCATTTCCCATTTGCACGCCCGCTTGCCCTATGTGAATGGATATGCATTCCCGCTGCGAACAAACGAGTAAGGGCCAAAGCACATAACATGGCGTAGCGATATACGACGGTCGTAGTCCTCGACCTGACAAATCAAGATACGCCAAAGCTTGTGCGTTACTTACGTCCACGACTACGACTGTCATATGTGCTTTGGCCCTAAATATTTCCCCCTGTATCTCATAAATGTACGTACACAATAAGACACGTGTAATTCGATCGGAGTCCAAAAGAAATTACTTGGAAAAATAATCTTCTCTCTTTCGTCTTTGATCTTTTGTCATTTGGCTGGAATAAATACTTTCACTTTTTTCTTTAGGTGATTTAAGAAAAAAGCGATACACAAAGGAACAATAGAAATAATTATCCGGGTAACCAAGAGATTATAGCTTAGCGTAATTAGATTTTGCTTCTAATTATTTACCGCAAATAAATTTCGAAACATCGATATTTATAACGCACATGCAAGTATACTAACGAGCTATTCTATTGCGTGACGTAAATTGCTCGCTACATCACACTACATTACGATTATACTACCTTGAGCATCGTTAAAAAATTCACGACAGTTTTTACCGCGTTTATGGCTTCATAATGGCAATATAATGCAGATCGTTAAATGTTGAATATGTTAAATATCATTAACATATCAGTGCTTTGTATTTTGTTATATTAGTTACCTTTTTTGCCATTCTTAAAAATATTTCGTTTCTGCGTTAACTAGATCTAGATGAATGCAGGATAATCACCAATGCACATGCTCACAAAAAAATTACATCGCGTGCAACAATATTAAGACGCAAAGATGTTCAGTTCACCCGATTTTATTAACTGCCTCCTTCCACCAAACACTCGCTCAAAGTAATTGAATCTCCCAATTATAATGGGAGATTCGGATGGGTTTTTAGTTTTACATAAGTTCATTGATGATACTAAGCTCGATCACTTAAAAAATTTCCCTTTTACAGATACAACACAGTAGCTATTCTGAAGAAGACAGATAATTTAGAGGGAGTTTATAAGAGAGAGAGAATTCGTTCTACAAAGTGATAGAGATTCCCTGGAAATAAACTTTTACTTAGATTGACCTTTCGAATCGATTCTGTTTCATTCGTGTTTATTTCTATCCATTCGTTTTAATTCTTACGTCAATCAAAAATTTAAAACAACAAATCCTTAATTTTCTTATAAGAGGATAATTATGCGAATAATTGTATCACTTCCACGCGTCTCACAGTAAGACGCCCGTCGCAAATTACACGAGTTTCTGATTAATTGAACACATCGATTAAGCAAGGCTTGAGCGAGCTTAACAAGCCTAACGAGATTGGCAAGGAACGAGCTATGCTTAACAAGGGGGTGATTACCCGCAGCCCAGACATCGTCGACTAAAGCAGCGGCTGTATCTGTCAACAAGGTCTGGTGGAGAAAAATGCCCACCTTGACCTGATGTGTCCCCCATGGATAATTCAGCCGTATCCTAAAAGTGAGCATCTATATTGATATGCCTATAGCCGGCCTACTTTCCTGACTTATGGACGCACGTGGGTAGTGTGTCGTCTCGCGCGCAATATGATATTATACGCTCTGGCTCTATATATCTGCATGGTACGGTAAAAATCGATTTTTTACAGGTTGACACACTGTAACCATAGCAGCTTAATCGAATATCAAACTGCACGCCCGCGTGTGACACGATTGCACGATTCATCGAGAGAGATGAAATGGAATTTTAGAGAAAGATCACAGATTTATCGTCCGCTCGTGAATCGCCTCAGACTTGAGTATGGCCCACCCTTAGGTTTTGGGAATATTATTCTCCCTCTCGGAGAAAGTATTCGGCAATCCATACAAGCGTATTTTAATGCGCAATAAACATTTGGACATTCTAAAAGATGTGGCTATAATAGTACAGCTTTTAGAAAAAAACTTGAAATGAGCAGCGAATGGGTATCTTGTACTCGTTATTTTAATATCCGTTTTGCCGTTGAACAACAGAATTGGAGGATGTAAAGAACCGATTGCAGAATTTGAAGGAGAAGTGGGACAATATTTTACTAATATAAAGCTAAAACTGCGCTGTCGATCGCCCCATGCGTTCATGGCGTGGATCGATACTTCATAATTCAAGTTTCGCGTGTAGCGTTTTAAAATACAGGAAAATAAACGAAAACTATCTTGATAAAATGAATATCTAAATTTTCTCCGATATTCCAAAAATCTATTAATCATTTTTAAAAAATTTATGCATTATTTAGCTTTCTTCAGACTGCAATAAATAATAAGAGAGATCAACAAAGTTAAGCGAAAAATCTTACTAAAACAAATACTGCTTTTAACATTCGCATAAGGTATTACATTTAATAAAACAGAAATGCACTTTTTCGAATCGTTATTTTCGGACCGAAATCTTTCTCAATCAATCTTTTAATCATTCTTCTCGTCGAGTCTTTTTCGCGCTCATAATTCATTCGAGAAAACTTTTAATTGACCTCATAAACTATAAGCGAACATTTTAAAGTGCATTACGTATTTCCCGAGCTGTGCACCTCATGTATTGTATGACGTGTATGGCGTGCATATTATACGCTTTACCAGGAACTGTAAGTGTGTGTTATTGTATAAAGACGTTACAATTCCCGTTATTAAAATGTTTACGAATGTAACTTGTGCAAGAAATCAGTAGAAAAATCATATTGATACTACTGTGACTCATCCAATAACTCTTTATATATTTTAGTAATAATATATATGAACAAGATAGCAATAATTTTAAAAAACAATCGTGATTACAGATATAAAATTGCGTTCGAGAAATGTTGAAAATGTAATTCTATTATACATGATGTTTTTCTTATGTAAACACACTTGCGTGTAAAAAAAGCTCTTTCTCAATAGTATGATTTTATACGGTTGTATCTTAACATCAGATGCTTCTTTGTCTTTTAAAGAATAATTATTTTGAAAGTAATTTCTTTTATTAAAATCTCTATTCCGATTATAAAACTAAATTAAAAATGTTGTCTTTTCGTTAAAGTACAAAATATATACATTCTTTTATGATAAATGTAGAACAAAGTATTCAATATTGACGAGAAAGAAAAAAACGCGACAGAGAAACAAAGTACTCACCATTTTTCTGAATATTACTTGATTATTACACTCGATAGCAAGCAGCGTGTCGGACCGTGCCACGACTCGATCACTGTCTGACTTCGCGGATAGCACGATCACTGCGCTTCGCCATTTAATAGTAGCGCTATATATGGTAGGTATGTCTATGAACCGATGTTCGTAAGCGGATCAGCTTATGCTGCTATAGCACCCGCGACAATTGCATGCGGGTGCGCATCTGCATACAAAGGTGCACTGCCCGTTATAGACAGTTTTATTGGAAATGGTTCAAGGTACAGCAACGCTTGCCTTCAAACTCCATCCGAGATTGAAGAAGAAATATATGCATTCGCTTCATCAGTAGTTCTTATAATTATAAATTTATATTTCTTAAATACTCGTCTTAGACAATTATTTTTACGCTCCGACCATACATTATAAAAATAATTACATTAGTTAAAAGCTACATAATGAGTCTTAGAAGGATTTATTTTTTATAAGTTACTGTTTCTTGAGTCGCTTTGGACTCGACAAAGTTATTAATTGTACTCTTCTAGGGGTTTTGTGGCAGATAATAGGAACAACATCAGACTTCGGTGGTGTATTCTTAGTTTTAGTCTTCGTCGTATCGCTACTTTCTTCATTGTAAACCAGCTTAATATCTTCTGTTTCTTCCTCATTTGACTTCTTGTCTATCTGTAAATCATTTTCTGACCTAACATCTTGATTATCCACGACTTTCTCTGACTTCTGCTCATTAAGCTCTTCGGGTGGATTACTTGCCATCGCCTCGACTGTGTCGCTTTTTACAAGTTCAATATCCATTGCACAATCATCCAAATCGTATGTTGGGACGTTGTTCTTGTCTTTGATTACACTGGTCGAAGATTTTTTGACAGAACTTTTGGATGTTTTGTTCACTATTGCACTACCTTGTAAAGGGACTTTTGTTTTATAAATTTTACCTAATTCACCTTTCTCGAAGTGTATTATGGAACAGTAACCATCGCTGGAACACGCAATTAGAATCTGACCGTCGCTAGACCTGAAAGCAACGAGAAAAGACGCTAAGACTCGGAAGTAATTCGAATAGCAGCATAGCATATTGACGATCACGTACCACGAAAGATCATTTAGTCGGCCATAATGAATGAGCGATACCACGCCAATCGGAGATATCTGTTGCGTGTCGTAAAGTAATATAGAACTCTCCGTCGCGACAGCGAATATCATTCTGTAAGGCAGCGGTACCAGAGCAGCTGGACCGTCCTCTCGCAACTCAAAATACACAGGACAACATCGTACTGCTATAGTACATTCATTTAAGGTAGGTAGGATCATTATTGGTCTGAAAAAGAACGCTTTTATTATTACTACTTTTTTTTCAAGTTAGAAACTCGAAATCATTAGATGCTTTAATACTGACTCTCTTATGTCCTCTCTGGAGAAAACAATTATCGCATTTGATATAGTCTCTGAGCTCTCCTGCGGCTCGATTATGCCAGACGGAACGAAGATTAGGGATCCGTCTACCGAGAAGGTCAGTCTACGGAAGTACGATTTGAAGGTGTCGTCGTAAAATAGACGCACGAGCTTTCCCTTCAATGAGCTGCCGGACGGCGTCGGAATTTTGGACTTGTAAACACGCTGAACGGCTTTCCTCGTAGCAATGCTTATTAAACGGCAGTGTCTGAAGATAACGTATTTAATACACAATTAAAATTCAAAAGACGGTTTTATCGTTCGTATAATTTATAAATTACAGATCACCTACCTGTCTGTACTGATGGTGCATACGTATTGATTGCAAGGATCCCAAGACACTCCTTGAACGAAACTTTTGTGGTCCAGTAATATCGTTTTGCGATTTTTCTGGATGTCCCACAGTATAGCGGTATTATCAACAGATCCAGAAACCAAGAAATTAGAGTCCGGCGACCAGCTAATGTCATAAATATCCCCGAGGTGACCCCTCAATATTTTCAAGGAAGTCCATTGTTCCTTATTTTCAATATCGCCTGATGGCGGAGAGAAGTCTCGTCCCTCCTTCACTTTCCACAAAATAATAACCGATTCTGCGCATTACATTAAGATCAATTTTAGGATTTGCGTAACAAAGCGGGAGCAATAAACAGTAAAATAATAACAATGACCAACCGTCATCTCCTGATGCTAGAATTTCTTTCGACGGAGAGAATCTTACAACATTTACTGCCTTCTGATGACGCTCCAAGTCTGCCGCAAAGTTCACAGTGGCTCCACCGAAGTTGGTCGTCGTCAAGTGCCAAATCTGCATTTAAACAATCATTCAGATTGCTAGTTATCTTCAAATATGTAATTATAATTAGATGAAGCCGTGAAAAAGATTCTCAAACATCTAATGGCATTAAGAGAATTGTATATTATATTAATAAGTTTTTTATTAGCATATATATTGTGTTTCTTTTATAAAAATTATATATTTCTGCATTGTTGTTGTCCCTTGCATACATATTTCTCTTACACATGTATAAAATTAATTGTATAACATTAACATACGCATAAACAAAACATTAGAATGTAAAAAACCGTTCTCTTCAGCCTCATTCAAAAAAAAAATAATGTAATTATAGCTGCGGTCCACCTGACGCTACAAATGCTTTGAAGCGTTCTTCCTCTCCTTCTTGCTTTATTAAAAGAAAGGAGAAGAGGGAATCCTTCGAAGCATTTGTAGCATCAAGTAAACCGCAGCCTATGTTACCAAAACGTGGAAGTCCGCTCCTCCAGTCGCTACTCTCCAAAACGTCTCTCCCCTCGAATTTTCGTACGAGCCGCTCTGCACATCGACGCTCAGCACCGGGTCGCGATTGTGCCACGAGATTTCGGGAGTAATACACTTCATTTTCCTGCTCGAGAGATCAACAGATACAATTTAAACGAAATAGAGATACACGTTGCTCGACGACGTTGTCGCGCCGATTCTACGTAACCTTCAAGCTGTCACGTTGTTTGCGCCAAAAGTTCTTGCGGAGAGGTTAGGTCGGGTTAGGCTAGATCGCTGCGTCGCCATGGCAACCGTTCGATGCGCGACGCAACAAGACCAAGCTCCGCGGACTGCAGACGCGTGTGTTTATATTTCGCGATATCTCCTGTACATATAAAATAAATGAGTTCTTTAAATACAAGGCAGTACACGGCCATCGTAATCCTGCAGTATGTTATCTTGCTCTTTGACGTTTGCGTAAATTCGTTCGCGAGCTTCGCCAGGCGGCATCCCACGGACCTGCTGGTACTCTACGTGTACGTATAATAACTATTGACAATTTTTCCACGATGATTGAGGTAACGTCTTGTTTGATCGATGCGACGATTTCAGGATTCAAGACTTCTGTCTCATCGTGGCCCTCACGTTGCTCTTAGTGAACTTCTTTTCTACTTATATCTTCCAGGTAAACATACACCCAGAGACAACTGAATCAAAAGTAGATTTAGCAAGTGTAAAATACCAGCAGAAATATAATGGAATATAATAATGATAGATTAAATAAGGAAACCAACAATAAGCAGAGTTGTTTCATAATCATTTAAATGATATCTGCTGTTAGATTGTGTCTGCAGGCTTTGTTGATAGAACAGAAGCTTAATTTGGATGTAATTTGGTCCAATTTCAATATTTTACTGGCATACCGCTAAGATTCTGCTTACTGGCTAACGAGTTGTGTTCTACATTCTTTAAGTATATTTGATGAAGATATATAAAGCAGGTTTAAAATTTTCAGGCAGGTTTGATACAGCTACTGTACACAAGATTCCGCATGACATTAGTATTATGCATTATATACATGATATTATCTATCAGTTTGCATACGTGGCATATCACTATTCACTGGTCAGCGCCATTAGAACATTATTGGACAAAAGGATTTCACATTCTCTATTCTGCACATAGAACAGGTACAACGTCGGAAAACCTGGAATATCGTTTTGTTGGTGAATACACGATAATCCTGGATCTTTATAAAGTTGCAGTGCTGTATTATTACTTCTATAAAAGAGCCTCTCTGAGGATCGCTGATCCAAGATTTTACAAAGGTTCTGCTTGGCTGCAGAATCAGTTGAGTATTTCGTGATTATGTGTAAGTAAAATTCAATGACCCACAAAGGATTATACGATATCCTTACATTTATACAAATTTATATGACTATATTACATGGATGAAGCAACGAGGTTGGCGTATTATTCATACGTCTAAATATAATTTCTAAATTCATGTATTATACAAACGTTGTGTACAATTTATATACATTGTGTAAAAAAATCTTTATTACAAAGTATCTTTATATATGTACGTATATATATTTCTTTGAGATCAATTTTACATGATTTGCTGAACTGTGCCAATGCACGTATCAATATATTGAAAAATAAATCGTTACTCCATACTCTTAGATTATCCTCTGTGTTATTTTGATTATATCCTCGTGCTTTTTTGTATATTCATTCATATAATTGCATAAAAATTCTGTACAAAGTTCAAGTCATAATACTTGATTGATGTTACGTCTATTTAACTATATACTAGTATTCATAAATTCAAGATTATAATTGATTCAATAATTATAATTGAAGATAAAATATATAAGTTTATTACAATGTAACTTTTATCTGCCCGTTATTGTGTGCCAATATCGAAATCATAAAATTGAACCTAATTTTTTATGTAAATCATGACAGTATATAGATAAACTTTATATAAGGTAAATGTACTAATGCCTGGATACGTACCTATGTCTGGATATTTTTATCATTTGTCTTTAAATAAGTTATAACGTGAATCAAAGATAAAAATATTTTTCTTGTATAATATTTTTATCTTTTATTTTAATTCGCGTTATACTTATTTATAAACTAGATAGAAGATGATAAAGGTCCATACATAGGTCTTAAGTGTCCCGGCATTAGTACATTTACCTTATTATAAATTTGTATATTATTTTGCTTGTTTTTCAAGAAACAATTCTTGTTATATTGAATATTTGCTGCTTTTAAAATGTACAGAAAATATAGCAAACGTTGTTTGTTTATACATTCTGAACAATAAAATGCAATTACACAATGCACGTTAGATTAAATTGCATTTGCATCTAAGTATGTGTTATTAATTGTGATAATAACACATCTTTTGTAACTATTACAATAATATACGTCGAAATTTATTATCAAGTATCATATCAGATTTATATTTAAAAAATCCATCATACAGTCTATAGTAATGTTATATTATAACATAAAATAAAACATAATTTACTATAATCGTAATAATGAAGCTTTCTATGTCCTCTACAAAAAACTTTAGAATTGATCACCCAAACATCCGATCCTAACATTTATTTCTCAGTATCGTGAATTTGACATATTAAAATATACACGAGCCTTACTAAAATAGAGCGATTATATTTTTATCGGAGTTTCGAGACCTGATCTAAATACTTCTTATTGTGCAAAGTGGGAATAAATTGTACATATTTGCTTTTTAAGAAATCTTACAATTTTATATAAAAACACTTTTCTACACTTTTCGCTTGTGCGTGAAACGTCGTCCTTATATCAGATTCTATTCTTTTAATTATAAATTAAATTATGCATTTAACGAAAATTATTACATTACATTAATATACTTAGCACTTGTTTACTTGATCGTTCTTATATCGAATCTTAGGAATGTCGCATTCGATAAAAGTAAAAACAAAATTGACCTTTTTTGCGCTTTAGATACTTACACAATACGCATATTGTATACAAGATTTAAAAGGATAATTGTACACAGAGTTTACTTGCATGCGTATCACTTTGGACTCAAACTGTTGCAAGCTTGACTTTTTTCTTTTCTTTTTTTTTTTGTAAAAGTATCCTATATACCAGCGAGGTATTTTTCAGGCAACGTCTCGCAAGCTTCAGAAAGCTCCTTTCACACCTGCATCGTATGATTACCATGCAAAAAAATTAGCTTGTCAATCAGGTGAGGTGGCAAGGTCGCCCGCTTTGTATCATATTGGATCTGCACATCCGGCGGGATGCGTGAGGGTGGTGCGCAGCAGGCGGGCACACAATGATATCTGCTCACTAGTTTCGCCAGATTCGGGCATTTCGCAGATACCTTCGACCACCATTGCAAGGGACAATAATCGAGAGGTGCCGTGGGTTCCGACTGATATTGCACAATCTCGAGATCCGCTTTCTCTTCCGCAGGCATACCAGCCTTTGTCGGGCACAGACCACCAAGTAGGAACTCCATACCTGTAATTAAGAATCAGTCTAAAGTATCCATTTCACATTGCTCGCATAGGAGATGCATTATACGCAATTATTTCTATAAAAAAAAAAAAAAATACCTGAAACTCTAGATTTTTTACTTGGTACTGCCTCGTCTTCAGTCTTTATAGGGACGTCTCCAGATTCTTCCTGAATCAATTTCGTCAGCATTTCCTTTATAGGTGTGCTAACTACACTTTTATCTTCCTCGGTGACATATGGCATTGCTTTAAATCTATATAATAAAAAATAAAGATTAAATACATATACATAATATGAAATATATTCTCGAAACGGGTTACTCCCAATTGGGATGAGGTATGACTCGATGTGAGCGCGGCCGATTCTTAATCAACAGTTCCGGGTTCAATCCTCGGCCCTCATCCCACGTATGTTTCGGTTTTATAAGAAATTAAAGAGTCGAAGGTTAAGAGGAGTATGGAGTAAACGGTAACCCGTTTCAGAAATAAATAAATAAATAAATATCAAGATTTCTGTGTCAAAATACCTAGGATCCAAAGTAGTGGCAATTTGTAGAAGCAGCGTGACGTTGTAATCTGCGTATCGGTCGCACAACATATCTGACAAGGACTCTTTGAACGTCCTTGCGGTGTCACTGTCCGTTTCTTTCACTTTAAGATGCGAGGATACAAGTTGCCAGAGCAATGGTTTGAGTAGGGATATCAGAGGCATTTTCTCCTCGCTTAACGTCATGATGGTAACTTTGAATGGCTCGAGGACATTGACGATGTCCTCCATGATTTTCCACTGTTCGTTGGAGATTTCAAACATCTCTTGATCTATCCCTTCCATGCCTTCTAATATAGATGTGATCATGTTACGACGCGCGATCATTTGTTCCAGCATCGTATACGTCGATATCCATACAGCCGGATAATCCAACAATATAGACCCCTCATCCAACTAGAAATGAGAACAGTAACTATTAGAAAACTGGTAAAATGAAAATAATAAACAAGTCACGCGCTCGTTATACGTAAAAACAATATAAGAAAGTTAAGGCTAAAATAAATATTTACAAATCTAAAGATTTATTATTCATATTTTGATCTTTCCTATATTACTTTTACTTATAAAATGCCATTTGCCAATTTTTATGTACATATAGATATCAAATCGTATTTATACGCGTTACAAAGTATTTTACATCAAACACTAAACTTATAGCATCGCAAAGATACCTCTGACAATTGTTCTTGCATCGTTAATGTCGCAAGCGCGCCTGGATGGCTTATGATGGCTCCGATGACCGATCTGCATTTGGCTAACGTGCTGGATACCTCGGGATTCTCGAAACAAGCCTGCGCGCACACTTGCAAAGTATGAAGCAAACATGGAATTACAGTCAAACCGCGGTTAGTCAGCGCCGTGTGTAAGTCTGTTCTGGAGGTGCTAACAACCACCGCTGTTATTCTCTCCACTTTAAGATCCCATTCGAGTAACAGGGAGTCTATGGTAGTTCCCCAATGGCTCTCCTCCCAGTCCAGCGGTGCGTGAAGAGTACTCAGGATCTTACATTCCAAGGTAGCCTCACCGGTATTCTGATAATAAACCGACAGAGTGACAAAGCTCTCGTCGTTGTTGGACTGCCACTCCTCGATCGTCAACGCCAGCTCCGTCGCGGGAGAGGCGACGCAGGACAGGGAGCTCACCACCGATTCCCGAAAATTGTCGTATATCCTCGGTATTATTTCCTCCTCCAGCTTGTTCTTGCTGGGAATCTCGCAGGGCGAGCGTAGGGTCGCCACCAATCTTTGGAATCCACGTCCCTCCACAATCTCGGGCAGCTGCAGGTCCATTATTATGAATTCCGCTATAGCGTCCGACACGGTTTTCACGTCCACCGACGACTGATTCGTCGCGTTGTCCTCGGACATGAGGAACGCGACGTTTTGGCCGTTACCGTTAATGCCAGATCCACCCTTGATCATCACTCTCAGCGGCTGACCGATGGCGATGTCGTCCTCCATGTTCGACAGGCTTATGTTAGGATCCGTAACAAACTGTATGTCACCGTCTATCTGAACGGTGCCGTCCGTGTTGGTGGTGTAGATGTATTTGGTGGGGCTCAGGCCCGCTTTCAGCAGCTTCTTCTGTATCTTACGTTCCTTGTTGTCCTGCGACACGACCTGCCTGGTGGTCGGCAGGCTCGACGTCTCCAGATCCATCAGCTCCTGCGCGTGTTTGTTCTGCAGGTGCATGCGGAGGTTGCTGGTGTTACGATTGTAGGCGATCTGGGTCTTGCACAGTATGCAGACGATCTTCACCTTGGTGATGATGCCGCCCTCCTCGGTGGCTGGAAACCCAAAGAATTTCCAGTAAATACTCCGCATCGACGGCGGCACCACCAGCTTCTTATACGTATACGTGTGCTTCTCCTCCATCATTTTCGCCAGTACCATTTGTATGTCGTTCTTGCTGTCGTCCGACGTGCCCGGCTTCGCACCATTCAGCAGCGCCTGTTTGTTATTCTCCATTGCGTTCGCTCGGGACGCTCGACCCGGCGTCCGCATATATATATATATGTATATCGGTTACAACACCTCGAGGATAATCTTTCTCTCTGTCACTCTCTTCGTGTCCGATCTCAGGATTCGTGCCACGGGGCTGCGGCAGGACGCATCCCGCGTCATTCGCCCCGCCGGGGGCGCGTCGCCCCGGAGTGCGACGAATTTACCGCGCGGCCACGGCACGCTCCGATATACCCAATTCCTCCCCGCGTGCCTTCCGTTCCGTCAGCCGATTTCGCGGCTATCGAAGTTCAATTCAATCCCTCGCGTCGAAAGGCCAGCGATGGCCCCGGCGATCAGCTATCGACTTACCTGCGACGATGCGATATCGACTTTCGTGCCGTTCGCTCGCGAAGAGTATATATCGTTATCTATAGACCTCGCCTGATCGATTCGAGTATCACCGTAATGGCGGACGGGTGGACGACGGCGCGGCGGCGGCTTCTGCGTCTGCGGAAAGTGCGGAGTGCGGGGGATCGTTGAAGCGGCGACGTGCGGGCAACTCCGCTGCTCCGCTTCCTTTGTCCACGACGCGCGCGCGAGACAGGGGAAGCGGCGCGCTCCGGCCGCTCCGGCCAATACCTCTATGGCCGGTATATTCATAGTCGGATCTTGTCACGATCTTGTCTATTCTTTATTCTACATCATCTATGGTATATGCTATCGATTGCTCGATTCGAGTTCAACTCGGACCGAAGAGTGGGGAGGATAGCTTGGTGGGGGACGCCGATCGATAAAGAAAGATTGAGATTTGGGGTGCAAATGGTGCAATTTTCGGTGCAGCTTCCCGGCATGTTACGGGGGTTAGGGTTGAGTGTGGTTGAGTGTCGAATGATGTATTTAAGAAATATACACATTATTCCACCGTGACAGAGACAAGAGCCGAATCCCAAAGCTGCAAGAGTTGCCAATGCAAGAACCGGTCAATACCTCGATCTTATGAACTACGATACATCCATCAGGTATGTATGACAATTTTCTTTTCCCTTTAAATAACAAAGCACTGCGTCGAGGAGTATTTTTTTTATGAGGATATTTAACTCTTGACACGTTCAGTTCTTTGCGTCGAGGAGTAGCTGTAAGAGACTGAGGTTATCCAGAGATGCATTCGGTTTCTTTATTCAGATCGAGCTGGCCCTGTGGACATGGAGTGAGACTCGAGAGACTTGTGCAAGTGACACACACGAATTCGAGACTGCCGGCCCGAGATGCGTCTGCCGAGAAGGTTCGGATTGCTGTCGTTTCTGATATTATGGCGGTTGATCAACGTGATCCTGATAAAGACTGTCCACGTGCCAGACGAGTACTGGCAGTCGCTAGAAGTGGCGCATCGCCTGGCCTTCGGTTACGGATACCTCACGTGGGAGTGGAGGACGATGATTCGCAGCTACGTGTATCCATTTCTCATATCAATTCTCTATCGGCTGCTCGCCATCCTTTCCTTGGACTCCGCGCTGCTGTTGACGACGCTGCCCCGTGTCTTTCAAGCTATCCTCGTCGCCTACTCGGATTACAGATTTTATAAGTGGACCAGAAGCAAGTGGTTGCTGACCTTTTTGTGCCTGAATTGGTACTGGTACTATTGCGCCACGCGAACGCTGATAAACTCAGTGGAGACTGCTTGCACCATTATAGCGTTGTCGATATTCCCGTGGAGAGAGAGCCACGTAAGAAGCGTAAAGTTCCTGTGGATCGTGGGTTTTCTCTGCATGGCGAGACCCACCGCTGCGATTCTGTGGCTTCCCCTGTGCCTGTATCATATTTGTACGAGCACGGGAAGGAGGATATTGATCGGTCAATACATCTTAATATGTTTTACTTGCGCCGCCATTTCTGTATTAATAGATAGCTACTGTTACGGAACATTCGTGATAACCCCGTGGAAGTTCTTCCAGGTGAACGTGCTCGGGAACGTCGGAAGCACGTACGGCGTCAAGCACGCGTTATGGTACATCTATGCCGCTCTACCAGTGTTGCTCGGGCCGCACATCTTGCCGTTCATGTTCGCCTGTTATCTCATATTTAAGCGTCCCCTTCTTTACCCTCGAGAATCGATCATGCTGATAGTAATCGGCTGGACTTTGTTCGTCTACTCGTTACTGTCTCACAAGGAATTTCGATTTATCCTACCCCTTTTGCCGTTGTTAATCTACACGAGCTTCACTTGTCTGAATCGTTTGAGGGTCACGGCTGGCGTGCGTAAATGGTACGTAGCGCTGATGGTGCTCAGCAACGTCGTACCCGGCTTGTTCTTCTCCACCCTTCACCAATGCGGCACGTTAACGATAACGGAGGTCCTGCGAGGCGAGATCACTCGCGCGAACGCCACGTCGGCGGACACGCTGATCCTGACCCCGTGTCACAGCACGCCGTTGTACAGTCATTTGCACGTGAACGCGACAGTAAGATTTCTAACGTGCGAGCCTAATTTGTACAAGATCGAAGACTACGTGGACGAGGCGGATCAGTTTTTCGCAAACGCGCCTGCCTGGCTCAGCGATAATTATATTAACAATAAGAAAGTCACGTTACCGACTTATGTGATAGTATTTGATAACACTGCGAACGAAATACCTGAATTTTTACGTACGTATAAGTTGATTGCCAAAGTATTTCATACATTTTTTCCAGAACAGAATTATGGAAAAAGTATATTATTGTACAAGCATATATAATATTTATTTTATAATACACGTTATGTAGTAAATGAAAATATTTTTATGAAAGTAATAATCTTTGACTCGAAGCAACCGTAAACCGAGATTATTCGAATCAAACGATTAACATAATTCTCTTCTGTATAATAAAAATATATTGTACAGGCATAATATTTATTATATACGGTACATGTCAATTACGTGCAATACAGTAAATGAAAATGTTTTTTATCAAAGTGATAATCTTTGACTCGAAGCATCGTAAACTAAGATCGATCGGGTCAAACGATTAACATAATTCTCTTTTGTATAATAAAAATTGAAATACATAGAGTATGTGATGTCTAAAAGGAATTTTTGGTATTTTATGTACATTTAACGTCGAAAAAGTCGCTTTTTCTCTCAACAAATTTCTGTTTGTTATATTAATCAATTTTATTCGTTGCAGTGAATTTTGCACGGATGATCTTCTTCGTCTTGTAATTCCCTCCTTTCTTTTCCACCGTCCGGACAAATTAGGCCATAATTTCCTGCGATTTCTTAAATTAGCCGTCTTCAGCTTCCGCGTGGCGCGGACGGAGGAATGCCATGGAAGACGTCAATGTCGGCGTTCTCGTTATCGACGACAAAAAGCAGCACCTCCTGCTCGTCCGGCCATCAATAACGCTTAGAGCGATTATCGCGAGGCAGTCGTAAACCGAGAGGATCTTCCACCGCTAAAAAAAAAAACGATTCGCGGAGCTGCGGGAAGGGGCACAGAGGCGGGAAGAGGAGGCGAGCCCTCCCGCTTGGAATAAATGGGTACCGTTACTAAGTAGGACTCGAATCCCAGACTCTCCGATGCGGGAACGATAACGATTCGCTAACGGTACTCGCGTCGTCCTACAGATCGCTCCGAAACGCGGCAATTATCGCCGATGCTGCGCGTCGCACACGTTTCTCTCGAATTTAATCATAGATCTTAAGAAATCACGAGTGGAAGGGAAACCAGCGTGGAATCCATCGCGAAAACTTGAAAGTTACCATTGCCGCTTTACGAGAGGTAACTGAATGAAATTACAGGTCTCGTTACATCGGATATGTTTATACATATATGGCCTTACCGTTAAATTATGTTATATGTATATGTGTTAATATATCCGTTATAACGCTGTATATTGTAATATAGGTTGCTTTAAAAAATGTTAACACTTATTATAGAAGTAACTCTTTTAGAGGAACAGAACTGACAATACAAGATATAGTAACAAATGTATTTTGTTATGAATCGTCTTCGAAGAATCTCCATGTGTTTCATTGTCAATACATTCTTCGAATATTCTCCAGGTTGTCTCCGGATCCCTGAGGCACATTTCTTTGGGTACTTATTGTTGCAATCATAGTCGCAATTTTCTGTCGGAGATCTCGCACATTACAATAACGGCGAACAAGTGGCGAGCAAGTTCTTTGAAAATAAAATACATTTTTTACATTTGATATCTTGTATTATCAGTTCCGTGTCTCTAAAAAAAAAGTTATTTCCATATAAATTTTATTATCTTTCTAAAGCACCCTGCATATATTTGTGAAAAAAAGAAAGACAAATATACAATGTGATACAAATGTCAAGGACGCTTTATTCAAATCGAAATTGTTGACGTAACATCGTTGAGATATCGTAATGCCAGTGTCATTTCGCATTTTCCGTCCCGGCGGAAACCACTCTTTCTCCCCGAGAAACTGGAAATACGGACGCGGAGAGAAAAATGAATGGGCGCCTCGACTAACGGCGATCGGCGGAGGAGGTAAAACGGAAAGTAAGGTATACCCATTGGAAAAGTCGTGGAGGAAAAACGCGTAGGAAGCGTCGCGGGACGAGAGGATCGGAGAGAACCGGAGATTCCTCGGGAACGCGGTGAGATACGCGAGATCGTCGGGCAAACGCGTCGGGCGACGCGAGGCGAGATGAGGCGAGGTGAGTCGAGGCGAGACGTGACGAGCGGGAAGGTAAGGTAAGGTAACTCCGCGTAATCGAAGGTACGGCTACACGGCAAGACTCGGGGAAAATGTAAAGAGGAGGGAGGGAGGACTGACTACATGGAGTCAACGTTCCGGCCGGGTCAGCGACCACAATGCTCTCGCTCGCTCTCTCCCGATCGCCTCCTCTCGGCTCTCCCTTCCTCGTCTTCACGTGGCTCCCGCGCCGCCGCGCTTCCCGGGAAGAGGCCAGGCTTCCTTGGGACGGAATCCTCTCGGCCTCCTCGTGAAAGCCTCGATACTCTTTCTCTCTCTCTCTCTCTCTCTCTTTCTCTCCCTGTTATGAAAAGTATACGTCCTTGCGGAAAGCCGGAAACCGAGTCGTTCGCTCATCAAAGCTGATCAATGCTCGAAACCGATTCGATTCGTTAACGCGCGAGTACGCGCGTTATTTTCTGTAACTTTCATTCATATTTCACATAGGGATGCTAATCGCTAAGCCTGGCTTAATGGTAGATTTAATAACAAACATGATAACAGCTTGTTCAAGGTAGTAGAGGCAAAGATCTATCACGACGCAGCTGCGGGGGAAAATGGCAGAGTTCTTTCGCGATTCATAATGAACGGTGCAAGAGGACGTCTGAAATTGATTGACACGAAAGGAAGAAGTAAACATATAAATATTGAGTTTGTCAATCTCACGTCTCTCTCTCTCTCTCTCTCTCTCTCTCTCTCTCTCTCTCTCTGGACTTGGTTTGATGAATGGATTTCACTTCTCTGTGTAAGTTTACTTCTAATTTTAATATCTAGTCCAAATATTTTGCAGACTAGGAATATTAGCAGAATTTTTCTCATATTTACGCTTGTCGGAAAACTTGAGATTATTTAATTCATTTATCATCGCGTTGCTGAAGATGGCTCAAAATAGAGCCGAAACGTACGATTTATATAATTTGTATCAAATTATTAATTAAACGTTACATAGCGTTAACTCATGCAAAGCATTTTTCCTTGTTACTTGTTAATATAAATATTATATGAATTTCAAACTGTATTCTATAGCTTTAATGCTTATTATCCTGGCATAGCGTAAACGCCTTGTTAAATGACAAAGAATTTAAACGTTTTCACAGACTTTAAAGGTATAAATGCTGAGTGTATTCTTACGAAATATCGTTTCTACGCAACTTTCTCATAACTTTAACGGGTCGCGCATGCACTTTTGCAGATTATCTATACGCGAAGTCCTCGATGAAGTCGCGGCGCAAGGATCAAGTCCCGTGTGTGCATCGTTGGAAGGAATGCACGGGCAATCCGCGAGAGACCTGTCCTGTCGTTTCGAAAGTTACGTGGCCAGACACAAGAGCCACGTATACATGTACCAGCGTTGAACGCCCGTCCGAGAGAAAGTTCCCCGCAACGGGGGAATCCGCTCTCCGTCTTCTTATCCTCTACGCCGCGCGTAAGAGAATCCCGAAGTGGATCGACCTCGTCGTCCCTTTAACGCTCTGCCAGTCTTCCCGCAGGTTCTGCGAAAGCCAAGAGAAGACAATTGAATCACGGTTACAGTTGGTTACAGTTAATTGGCATCGGAACGAACGAACGAAAGAGAGAGAGAGAATGAGAGAGAGAAATGACCGTTAGATTTTCGTGAATTTTTATGCGGACGGAATTGACATTCGTCTCTTCAGCTCCGATAGACCGGCGGAACCGTTATTATGGCCGAGAGAACTCGGATTACGGACTCGTTGATAAAGATTCTTGATAATAATTCTTGAAAGATTCCAGTTTGAATGCTGGAGTAGTCGACCGGACTTCGAGAGTCCGGATCTTGAAATGTCATAAAAGTCGCGTGATTTCTAGACGCGGAACGTCCTTCCGACCATGTTCACGCGCGCTCGCGATAACATATTCACGTGCACGTGCAATTTAAGGCTCGCGATAAGTGAGGATGACGAACAAAAAATATCGCATACTTATCGCTGAACGTTAATAATTAAATAAAGGCTCGAAAAAGTACAAGCATCGATTATACATACATCTTTTTTTTAATAAGTTAATTATAAAATTTAAACTTTACTTTTCTCTAATTTTTAAAACAAAATTTCAAAGACTTTCGAAAGCTGCGGAGGGCCTGAAAACGCGAATGTCGAGTTACTTGTTTGTTTCTAGTTCCCGTTCGGTATTGATGGCCAGGAATTTCGAGTTTCGCCACGTCGATCGAGCTGTTGCGTGAAGCAAACGGCGCTAATGATGAATTAAGAACTGTCGACGACAAAAAAAAAGAAATGGTAATGCCTGATAAATTTTGAGCGATAGTGGTACGTCATAATCAAAATAACACGCAACAATATTCATATTAATAATATATTCAAAGCGGTGACGAGTATCGATGGGACAGAGTCCGAGAGCGTAAACCGGATCTCGATGCTGGAATCCAGGCAGACTTTGCTCTCGCTGGGACTTCAACGCCGCTTTAATTATCTCTCAGGGACGTATTATCCGGGATTAAGACGCGGTTGCGCCAGCGGTTCCCTGAATTAAAGCCCGGCTTATAGCTCTTCCCGGATTGCGGTGTCCTGCCTACGATAATGCCAGATGAAGAGAATCCGCCGAGATCAACGACAAGTGGCACGGTCGTCGGAAAATAATCGCGAGAAAGTCGCGGTTTTTTTTCCTTAACTATCGCACGAAGCTTATCTTCCTCTATTGAATAATAACACAACAATTCGTTAAAGAAATATATATATATTTTTTTTTCAAAGATAGCTCAAGATCTTTCGTAACAGAACTCGAAATAGAACTTGAATGACTCGCGCATAACAGAACAGTATTCATTCGCAAATCGAGGGAATTATTTATGAGTTCGATTTGCGAATTTATGAGTTTGGACCTCCGGTTTTCGGTACAGAAAGCATGGGAAACGAGAAACGACTAAGTCTATCCTTGTGATTGTTTAAAAAGGGAACTCTTTGCTAACGATGATTCAAGCTCGATCGTTTCCAAATCTAATCCGACGACGATTTTGGACGCAATTTACGAGAACCTGACGAAATCTCTCGCGCGGTCCCGCGAGATGGTTCCGCGTGAAATTTGAAAGACACCTCTTTCATTCATCCGTGGACCCGCGTTCATCGGCGACCTGCACATTCGTTCTTTCTTTAGCGGGCCGCTTGAACGCCGCCGGCGCCGGCCAATCGCGGCCCGCGGGCAACAGGTGGCCGGCCAATCGCGACCGGCGGGCAACAGGTGATCGACCAATCCCCGTTCCGGCGACGCGGTCTAGGAACCGAGGTACCGAGGCGCTTCGATCCTCCAGGCAGGTATTCCTACGCCGACAGCTGTCCCATGCAGCCCATGCTCCTCTCTCTCTCTCTCCTGCCTTTTCTCTCTCGCTCCTTGGTAAGTGAAAGAACGCCCGGCCTTTTTCTAACAGTAGATTGAACAAGAAAGAAACAATTATCAGAGAAACGGAGAGACGTCGCGTCTCTTTCTCTAATCTCTCTTCTACACAACGCGACGCGTGCGTAAATGTCGCGTGCTCCGGTGTGTTTACGTTTAGATCCGCGCGCGCGCGCGGATCCAGATAAGGGATGAACGAGACGCGGGAGAGCGTCGAGGATGACCCGTGTCGCGTAATTCCGTATATATCTGTCCTCGTGCGATCGTTTCGAACATTCAAACCTGACCGGACATGCGCGCGCACGCGCGCACACAAATTAACGATTGCTGCATATAGGAACGGGGCAGAACGGGGCAATATTTTATGCGAGCGCGCTTAATTAAACATGCATGAATACATGCAATCTGACTGGGTCATCGTCGACTGCGCGCGTGTCGATATACTATGGATATAAAAAGTGCAAATTTATTGCAGCCGTCCGTGACGTACTCGCCTGTGGAGATTGAGAAACGCGCAGGAAACGGCTTCGAGTGGTCGCGGCGTTATGACTCGGCGGAATCGGACGTTGCGGTGTTTCCGATGAAAATGTGCCTCGTCCCGTCGTCCCGCCGAAGATGAGAGCGTTAAGGCCCACGCGCACAATCAAAAATATAAGGAACAGATATTAGCGACATTAGGAATAAAGCTGGGTATAGCATTGACTGCGTTCAGCAGAACGTTTATTTTGCAACTGTTGGACATTTTATGAAGCTCAGATTGAATTATTCTTTTAGATCTAGAGAAATAATCCAATCTAGGCTCAAAAAACTTTCAACAGTTACAAAATAAACGTTCTGCTGAACGTGGCCAATGATACGTGAAATCTGTTGCCTGTGTTATTCCCTGTCTCGGTGCGCCCGTGTTTTTCATCGTGCATCCAGCTCTATTCCTGAATCCTTAATCACTAATGTTCGATCCTTACATTTTTGATTGCGCGAGGGCCTTTATCGTGCTAAGGGTCAACGATCAATCGTAGACAAGCGAGAGATCGATCCAACAACAAGTAGGCGTCAAACAAATGTTTTTAAATTGACGACAAACTGCAGGACAAACAGACGAATGTATAGGAGCCCATTTAAGGTCGATGCAGACACAACCGTGCCGTATCCGTACCGTGCACGAAACAGAAACATCAGACAAGGATACCTATTGTCTCCATCCTTGTCTAATGTTGTCTCTATCCTTGTCTAATGTTAACGATACGGATACGGTACGGGTACGGCACGGCTGTGTCTGAATCGACCCTTAATTGATGTCGGCTGACGCGAAACCTCGCGCCGCTTTCCTCGGCCATTTTCCGCACTTTCTCTCATAATTGCGGCGATGCTTAAAAAAAGCAATCGCTTCCTCGCGATTTCTTTCGAGGCCGCGATTCAACCGCGACGGAAAGAGCGTCAGGCGCGCGCGCGCGATCGAAGACTCGAGATTTCCGGCGGCGATTTCCGTTTTTGCAACGCGATTGCAACGTTACCGATGGTATTCGTCATTGAAATTAAGGTCGGGGGGAGGTCTCTCTCTTTCTCTCACTGTCCGTAATACACCTTGTATTATACGCGGCAGGAAGTCGCATATAAATTCGACGATGTCGCGGCATAAATCGCAGGGCTTGTTACGAAATAGCACGAGCGCCGAAGGAATATGAAATTGCTGCGCTTCGCGGCGCTTTATAGCCGCACAGAATATATTTTATCATAAGAATAAGAAAAGTGGAAAGAGGTGGGAAAAAGACACGAGACACTCGCGCGAGTCGGCTGATAATCGGAATAACGGAAAAAAAAATACATTTCGAGCTTCGCTCCGGCGAATTTTCTGAAAGGGAGTCTTTTTTTCTCGAAATTTTGAAACGTCTGCGCGTGGGCTCTCGTCCCTCCAATTGGATTCCGCGTCGCCAAGCATCTCCGTAACGTCTTTATTGACACCTCAATGCCTTATTGCATCGGAGCGAGCGTGCCGGAATAAATACCCCGACGAGAGCGAAACACTTCGTGTACGAGCCTCGGTCGACGTCAAGGCCGCGGTCGCGATCGTGCAAGGTATCCAAACTGTCCAAGACTACACAGAAAGAAAAAAAAATGTCAAATCGAAACTTATATACTCAATAATTAAATATTAACGCGTTCGTATTGTGCCGTATATTACGCAACAATCAATAATCTTTTTAATAAGAATTTTTCAATCTTTTCGGCACTTCCTGAGCTGATGCACATTGGTGCGATAAGTTAGAGTGAATTAAAATATACTTGCCTCACTCTAACTTATTGCAATAGTGTGTGTGCATCAGTTCAGGAAGTTCTTCGAAAAAGAACAGACGGACGATTTGTGTCTTGCCGCGCGTAAGTACATTTGACGCGAGACACTACTGTTCACTTGACAGACGTAGATAGATCGATTATACGCTCAAGTTGGAGATATAAAGATATTCTTAGAAAAAAGGACACTAATGAATCAGATGCTTTATCTAATTGTACAGTTGCTGAGAAAAGAAGGAAAGTGGAAGAGCAGTCAGTCCTTGTTCCTAGAAAGAGATGCGCATTATCTTCCCTCTCTTTCCCTTTCTCTCTCTCTCTCTCATTCTTTTCTTCCCTACTCGAAAGTGTATGTGTGTGTGACAGAGAGAGAGAGAGAGAGAGAGAGAAAGAGAGAGAGAGCGTCCGACCACGCGTATCTCTGTCTTTCGACATGTCGTCAGCTGTTGCACACGAATACGCAGTCATCTATATAAGCCTAGTCCAGGACTCTCATACATCGGTACGTTCCTGTCCTGCGGTCACCCGGAATAATCGCGCGCGCGCGCGCGCGCGCACTCGCATTATTTTCCCGCTCGACAGCCCGCGAGCGAGAGCGCGCTCCGCGCCCTTCTCACCGCGGTCCACGTTTCACGTCGCACAAAATTTCGGAGTAAAGGGAGTATCAGCGGACAACGCGGATATGGACGTCGAGGGAAGAAACGGCGCGTCTCAACGTTCCACGTGCGTGCCACATGGATCCGCCATGAGCGTAAACGCGGCGCGGAGAGGCGAGGCGAGGCGAAACGCCGCGTCGTATTCAGGTAGATCGGTAGATGCGGCCGGAGAGAGCGCGGGGAGCCGGGAGATACGAGATACTCGGCGAGCAGGGGAAGGGGGCGTCTGCGCACCTGGCGCGCGCGCGCGCGCGCGCCGCATCGAGCTTTTGCACCTTTCCCGCCGCGTCACCGCGATTTTTCACCGCGGCTCTCCTCGTCGAGAAATCCGCCGCGGCCTTTCCCCGTCTCCCGCGCGTATTTTCCACCTCGTTCCCGAACGCGTATACATCGCGCGAGAGGTATCCTCCATTTCTTCCCTTCGCCATCTCTCTCTCTCTCTCTCACTCGGTTTCCCCTTCCCCTCCCTCCCCGTCTCTGTCGCCACCGTCCCCCTCCTCTTTCGTTCTGCAGGCGAACAGGCAGGTACATACATGCTCGATGCTGTCCTCTTTCCCCCCCTCCCCCCGCGGATCTTCCTCAGGTGGCCCGATTCCAAATACAGCCGCACACTTTTTCGAGCGACACCTATACCAGCGCGACGCGATATATTTCGGAAGTTCGCGCCGGAAGGAGTAAATAACCGCGAGCGAGAACGAACGGTGCTCAGGTCAATATGGCGGATATACGGGTATAGCCTCGTCTCTCTCTCTCTCCCTCGCTCCGAGTTTCTCTCTTATCTACGGTAAATCCGATCTCCGAATGCTCGTTATCTTCACCGCGCTCGCGCGCGTCCCCGTCCCTCCTCCCCCCTCCAGATTGACGCGCCACTTGAACGCGCAAAATTCTGCCGAACGTTTTTCGCCGTTTCGCGGGAGACGGTTGATTCTTCTCCGCGAGGTACACAACGGATATTCCCTTCCTTCTCTCTTTTTTTTTCTTTTATTTGGTTCGATGTCGATCCGCGCACCTGTCTAACCCGTCGTTAACCCACGCGGATCGGAATTCCGCCAGATATTTATTTGTTTCGTTATTCGCCTCGCGAGAAGGAGCGAAAGAAAAAGAGAACCGTTCCTATGGCTGCTGGCGCAACAAGTGTTTCCTCTCCCTCTCTTCCTCCACTCCTCTCTCTCTATCTCTCTCGCTCTCTTCCGCGTGCTTCGATATCTTCACCGCGCACCGGCATAACTCGTCATTAACGCCGCATGAAATTCCACGTGATATTAATTCGTTTTTGCTGTTTGCTCGACAAGAACACCTTCCGGACGGCCCGCAATAAGCATTTCCTTCTCTCTCTCTCTCTCTCTCTCTCTCTCCCCCCTCCTCGGTTGCCGTAAGACGCCGAGCGAGCCGAGGGGGACTCCAGCCAACGAGAGAGAGAGAGGGGCCGCGTCGACGCGCAGTCGCCAGGTGAGGCAACGACGACGACGTGTTCGCCACGTTATACGGGGGGATCGCGCGGTCAGTGCTGCGGAGAACCTTGCGACTTTCGACGGCGCTCCGTCCGAAGCGAGCGACCGACCGACCGTGGGGAGAGAGAGAGAAAGAGAGTGAGCGAGGGAAAGAGACGGGAAGCACACCCGTAGTTACGCGCCCGCCTGTTCGAAATCGATCCTGCCTGTTTTTCTTTTTTTTTTTCATCTTCTCTTTTCGGTTACTCCTTACTCCAGGTGCGCGCCGCCGTCGGTCGGACCGCCGCGCCGTCGGGCCCATAACCTCAAAAGTCCACCGCGTCCGTCCGAGAGCCGTGAAAGAGAAAGAGAAAAATAATGTCGTGCGCGACGGATAATCAGTGAGGCGGATCAGTGACAGACGTCCCCCCTTCCCGGGACGTCGCGACGCCGCGCGTCCTGTGCATCGAGAAGCAGCGGGAAGAAAGAAGATCGGGTGAAGAAAGGGGAGGAATCGGAGCAAGGGGGTCGTTTCGGAGCCGCCAGGTGCGCTCCCGCGGGGAACGATGACGGGAACGAGGACGGGAGGAACCGGGAATGGAGGAGCAGGAGGAAGTGGTGGAGCAGGAGGAAGCTCGCAAAATATTCTGGTCACCCTGTACGTGGCGACCGCCGGCCTCCAGGGCAACGCGCTCGGCTCCGACGAGGAGGAGATCACGCTGCTCGTCTACGTGCTCATCGACGAGCTGCAGAACAAGGTGAGCTAACGGCGGAAGGAGCGGCGAGCGGGTGAAAGGGAGAAGGAGAGATTGCGCGCGCGAGCGCGCACGCGAGAGGCGGAAGTGCCATGGTTTCGCCACGGACGAGTTGAGATGAGATTCATCTCCTCCCCGTGGGATCGTCCTCGCAGCCGCGAGAATCCCCGCTGCACCTCGGTCGAACTCCCCCCCGGGATTTAGCCGAATCGCCGACCGCGACTTGTCGAGCGACGCGTGTATTTTGTTGACGCGCGACGGAGTCGTCGTTGTTTGTCAAACGGGGAGTTTCGCGATCGGGGACGACGAGATTGTATTGGAAATTTCGCCGCGAGCGCGAGCTCCGCCGGTTGATCGACCGATCAAGCGGCTCGAAGTCTTCCTCTCATGTCCGTTTGTACGAATATGCATTAACTTTAATCTCCGTTCAATTCACCTTTCGTCTTTTTCTAAGTTCTAAGAATTGGAAAAAGGTAAGAAGTAAGTTAAAGTTGATCTCTGCATTGATAGAAAAAAATTGATGTCAATTTGTCAGCGAACTTGCCAACGCAAATTGTTGGCGCGAATCGAGTGGAGATTGATGCGAATCGATAACTTTTGTCGTAGCGAAAAATGCGTTCGTTTCGAACGTGCTTTCTCACATTTTCTGGAAACGCGGATCGTGTCTTCCGCTTCAAGTCACGCGTTCAAAATGGGAGACCGTGTCTGACCCTTAAAATGTCCATTTCTACCAATGCGGATTAACTTGCTTTTTATCTTTTCCTAATTCTAAGAATTAGATTTATCTTCTTCTTAGAATTAGAAAAAGATAAAAAGCAATCTTTTTAACCGAGAAAAAGTTAATCTACCTTGATAGAAATGAGCATGAGGCCCAATATTTGTCATTGCGCTTCCGCGCGAGAAACTCCGTTGAAACTCCAAGTCTCGAAACGAGACAGCGTCAACAGACGAATCTCGAGAGTCAATATACGTGACGTCGCATTTGTAATCACGATTCGAGTGAGAAACTCATCAGGTGAAGACGCCTGAATCCGCCTTTTCGCGACTCGGCGGAGAGAAACGGAGGTGAATGGAAAGTGCCATTTAAGGCAAACTGAAACCACGACATGCGTTTGCATAACTTATTCAAAAAGGACTAGTTTTTGTTACGTAGCTGTCTGTAAAAGATGTATCTGGCTGACGACAGAATTTATTACCTTCCGAAAAACATGCTTTGGCGCATCTAAGAATAATCAATCGATATACAGCGCGTCTCGCGATACTTTTCGTAGAGTAGAATACTTTTGAAGTAAAATATTCTTTTTATAAAAAAAAAAGTTCAACTACGTCTTATCGCGAGCTGCGTATCTTTTACAGAAAAGGAGAACGCTTCTCCGGAAATAAATGAAGATTCCTTTTAAATGAGTTGCATAAATATGTGTCACGATTTCTCGTAGATCCGCGCAGGGAGACTTTCGTCAACCTGCCGAAATTCATTTAACAGTTTTTAGCTTTTCGCGTGCAATGTCTACACCGACTGCACGACCATGACGATTCTATTGCCGGTAGACAGCTCGCGGCCCCGCGTGTCCGCTTTCGAACGTAGGTTTTAGTTATGCAAATGTCCTCTCTCTCTCCGTACATCGTAAAGACTAAAGACGATCGCGCGTAAAATCTGAACATAAAGAGGAGCCAGTCGCGCTCGGCGAGACCCGCTTGTGATTCAGACCTGCCGGCCTAAAAGCCTCGAAATTCGTCGCGGTCCTAAACAGCTTAAAACAGATACGAGAGATGCTTTTCTCCGCTAAATCGTAATTGATGCTAAAGATCGTTTCCGCGACGGCACGAGGTCGTGAATTGCGGTTTGCCCAACTCAATTCTGATTGCCCGATAACGGATACTCCACTTCTAGGATCCTCCTTGCGTTAGATAAGTCGGCTAAATTGATTTACCGTCGCCTCTGTTTTGCGTTACGTTTGTCACGCTAAAGAAATCGGTGAATTACGTCGAGGAACGATTCTCGAAAATGTGATAAAGATCAATCGACGTCAGTAGAATCGTTGATTTTATATCGAAAGATCAAGGCGCTTTCGCGATGCGCGCTCATCGGGCTCGCATCGATTAAGTATCATGATTAGCAAGTTTTTTTAAAACGTTGTACCACGGGGCCTCGTCTCGACTCTCGACACGCGAGATGTAAACGAAAAAAAAGAAGCGATCTCGCCGAGCAGATCGCGCGTTCGTCGCGATAATCGTCGCGTATCGGGTGATGACGAAGGAGGGCTTTTGACAGATGTTTTTCACCGAAAAAAAGAAGAGACCCCAGACAGACTCACTGGGGTAATACGTTACCCCACGCGAAATTAAAATTCGCATCATTTCAGCCAAATTTTTGGTTCTTTGTTTTGTTTTTCGAAATTTGTTTACTGTTTTTTTTTTTACTACCGCAAATTGATGACTACTGTCGTCTTCCCTATTAAACAACAAACAAAATTATCTATTATAAAGTTTTCTAAGAACATTCTGGAAATATTATACACGCGGTACAAGTTTGGGGTAACGTATTACCCCAGTGAGTCATTCACGTATGAGAAAAATAAATGAGTCTGTCTAGGGTTAAAGAGGGGCGAAGGGAGTTTATCGAGATCACGCGGACTTTGCGCGGTGGATCGCGATCTCTTGGCGCGCAAATCGCGTGAACTCCCCCCCGGGCGATTTTAAAAGTGTTATTACTCTTAATTTAATAGAACCGATTCAGTTTTTATGCAATTTAATACCTCATTCGACTGTAATTCTCCGCAATCACTCGCTTGATGCGTTGTACAATTAATCAACGGTTAAATACGAGCATAAGTGATTTTTTTTTGTTTATGACGAAAGCGAGAAATTTTCTCTTTTGCGCTCGGACAAATGATTTATCTTTTACGGGGCTATTATGGTTTCGTGAACAGCTTAGAAACTTCGTCACGAATAGAAAAGAGATGTAGAAATTTAAGAGATCCGAGTTAAATTATGGCCATCAAGATGTGGTCTCGAGCAACGCGGTTTTGCACAAATATTTGATTTTGCCAAATATACGAGGTGTAACTCAATAAATTTTCCAAGTTCCAAGTCTACTTAGAATAGTTTTACTTTCGAACCTCCAATTGCTTGATCGAGTCGGTTATCTCTGACTTTCTCGTTTTTCCATGTCATTTATTCATCCATGAATTCTCAATGATTTTTATATTCGTTGGATTATTCATGTAGGTTGATTTATTTCCCTTAGAATTTAATGTCTCGCGCCGCAGTTTTCAGTAAATCTTAGTCAAATATTTTTAAATTATTGACTCTTTAATAATTGTATGAAAAATATTGGACATCATCTTTTATTATAGATTTTCGATTGTTGATTTATCAGACTTAAGTATTTGCATTTTATCCTTCGAAAAGTGTGACGTAGGAATACATATATATGTAAGAAATATTTAGAATAAATGAATATTAATATTTCAGGTCATATCATTAAAATATTTATTCCTCAGAAAACGGTTACGTTAACTAGCATTTTTCTGCAGCTGTTCTATTCTGAATGCTATCTGTCTCGATAACAAAATTGCCAAGATAATATTACCAAACTGAATTAAATTTTTACCGAAGCAATTGCATTCGCAGATAACAAAAACTCTTTAAGCATTATTGCATTTTTTTTACCATTCTACTGAGCAATTATTTTAATTTAAAACGTAGGCAGATATTCCAAAATATCTATATAATTTCCTTTTCCTACATTATCCTTTTATGTATTTCCACTTTTTTCGGTTTTAGCGTAAAAATTCACGTTTCTCCTTCGAAAACTGTATTCATACGCAATTCAATGCAATTTAATATACGACTCTTTTCAATTTAATTTAAACGAATGTTCAGAAGCGGGATATCTATCTTCGTCTTGGCGATCGTTTCGTCGCGAAAGATTTTCGTGAAAGCCAGAGCGCAATTAAATCTTTTTATTTCATATTCTCCTTAAAAATCATATAAAATTTACAAATTGGAAGAAATCGAGCCAAGAAATATTCTCGATTTATTAAAATTGGAAATAAAATCAAAATGGAATCGGGACGAGGAGAAAGTGGAGGATCTCCACGATGATCTGCAGAGATCATCGTTCCCCGATTTCGAAAATTACTATAATTATGTATTGTAATTAGGAATTCGTTTTCATTTTGCGAAACGGACTCGTATATTATTTCAAGCATTCGCGATTCCTGGCCCGAGTAGGCAAAAGCTCGAGATTATACAGACGCAATCGCAGGATTCACGTATACCGGATTGTGTCGCGATGTAAGTACCGTATACCAGACACGAGATGTTTCTCGTGCCACCCCGGGTTGCGTGAATCGTGAATCTCGCGACGCCGACGAATTCGCGGTTACGCAAAACCGCGGCTTCTCGAGCTCCCGCGGAAGCCGGTCTCTACTTATATCTATCTTTCTCTCCTTTTCTCTCTCGTGGTGCGAGACGCTTGCGCGGTTATGCCCGTGCGTGTCGTCGGCTGCCATTGTTTCTCGAATTATCCGGCGGAGGCGGAGCATCGCGCCCTCGAAAGGTCGTCCATTACCTCCAGCCTTGTGCCGGCGCGATCACCCGGTTATGCGCCTGGCGCCGTTCGCACGCTCTTTCTTCTTTCTTTCTTTTTCTTTATTTTTCCTCCCCTTTCTTCTCCGCGCTGGTTCTCCCCTCCCCCTCGCGCTCCGATTGACCTTTCTCAATCCTGATTTCGTTTAAATGGCACCGTCCTATAACTGCCGGCTTGACAATCTCCCTCGAATTTTAATTTTATACCGGCTGCATCATTTTTCTCAGATTGAATAAGCCTAGTATAGTTTCTCAATTTGTCTGTACTTCGATTTCGATTTTCACTCCCTCGCGTCTATACGAAATTTAATTTGAAAGTGCAGATGCTTGCGATCGCTTTGAGCCGGTTTTGCGCAAGGGTGGTTGCGATACTCTTCCTTTCCGCGATTGAGACATTTTCTACGTTCCGC